GGTTGTTTACAATCCAGAATGCTCCATGGACATTTGGAGGCAGAAGTGGCAAGATCACCGATGGTCTATACTCAGAAATTGGGCCTTTATGAGGAATTTGTCACGCCAAAAGGTTTCTCTTAATGCAAAAATCTGGTAATGGCTTCTCATTGCTTGCAGTTCCACCGACATGGGATGTCTTAGGGTGAATGGATTTATTTTTTTAATGCAGAGGCAAAGGGTCAGATTAAATCAGATTGCTTTCTTCACTGTTCTTAAGTGAGACTGATGTGCTGAAGACTGAACAGATGTGTTTGGGTTTGGAATTCCTCAAGAGTAGGAAAAGGTGCTCTTTTTCCCCAGTGCCCCGTGTGCCCTCTCCCTGTTTAACATTGCTGTTTCCAGCCAGTCTAAGCAGCTGCTCTCTGCTCTGGAGATCATAAACTCTGAGGCTCATGCCACACAGGAGTGCCGCAGGCCACCCGACTTGTTACTCTTGTCCCAGTTCCTTTCCCACTGTCAGAGAAGACTGAGCCGTGCCCCTCGGCCTCCGTTCCCACCCAGGGCCTGATACTGCATGGGAGACATCAGGATTCCTGCACAGGGTTCCTCTCCCCTTAGTATCCACGCACCATTGTGGCTACATCCTGGATCTTGTCATAGGGGGACAGAGCAGCCTGGTGTTTAGAAACACAGCTTTTGGAGTCAAAACAGATCTGCACCGTTTATTACCTGTTTGACATTGGAGCAAGTTTTTTCTCTCTCTAAGCCTCAGTGTTGTCATCTGTAAAATGGATGAATTTCTGTCACCCAGAGAACTGCTTCACTGCATGTGAAGTGCTTGGTATGGGTGAAGCACTCAATAAATGGTAGCCATTGATAGAGCTGGAACTATAGCTCCGTTGACATTTTAAACTCAAGTGTCTTCTTTTGACCACTCCTCTCATCTGTTCCCAAGCTTGTCACATCTCTTCTGCAACCTCACTGGATCCCACGGTCCAGGAAACTTTCTCCATCTGAAGGAGAATAGCTGCCCATGGCCCTGGGGTCACATGCTTCCAAATTCATAACTTTAGAGTCTAGAATTCCTTCCAGGTTTCTCAGGAAAACCGCAAGGAGTGGCCCATCCCTGGGTTGAGGAGAGTGGGGTCTGTTACAGGAGGGGAGCTGGTGAGACAGGAGATAGTGTAGAGAAAAGGTAGACAGAAGCAGGCTAGAGAGTGAGCGCCATCCTTTCTAAAGAGGAGGTGGTGTTTCTGCATCTGTTACTTTAGGTAAATTTTTAGAGAAGATAATCTGTGAAATGGCTTTTCCAAGGTCCAGGCTAACCCCTGGTTTTAGTTAATTGTTTATAACACAGATATTTTGTCACAGCCATAATTTGGATTGATGCTGCACCCATCATGGGTAGGAGGAGGGAGTGCTGAGCTTTGTTCTCATGGTTCCTTATTTATAGGGAAGAAATTTAGATTAAATTGATCCAAGGTCAAACATGTAATAAGTGGTGGAGACAACATGCGGAATGTCCACCTTTTAAAAGTGTCCAGCATCTCTTTCCCCCACTTATTCCTGCAGCAGCCTCGTCTTCCTTCCACCATTCTGTCACTCAACAACAAGAGACCCCTCCCCATCCCCCATTCTACCATAGACCAGCATTGTCAGAAGAATGTCCTGTTCTGGGCCCGGGGGACCCTGCACCAGGCCTTCAGGCCACTTTCCCACAATTTTCCCTTCTAGCGGGTGGGGTGGTGGGTAGCTCTCTCTTCCCTTGGATCTCTCCGCAGAGAGTCTTTTCCTTCCTACCTCGCCCTGTAATGTTGCTTCTCCAGTAGCTTCCAACTTTGCATATCTACTTATTGGTTTGTTCCCCGCCATTAGGAGGTAACCCTCTGGGCTGGCCCCATGGCCGAGTGGTTAAGTTCTCGCACTCCGCTTCTGCAGCCCAGGGTTTCACCCGGTCGGGTCCTGGGTGTGGACGTGGCACCACTCATCAGGCCATGCTGAGGCAGTGTCCCACACGCCACAGCTAGAAGGACCCACAACTAAAATATACAACTATGTACTAGAGGGTTTTAGGGAGAAAAAGGATGGAGGGGGGAGAAGATTAGCAACAGTTGTTAGCTCAGGTGCCAATCTTTGAAAAAGAAAAAAAGGAGGTAAGCCTCATGAGGACAGGGACTTGCTCATTGTCTTTCTTATAATATCCTCTGGCTTTTTTTGTGCTTTGTATATATTAGGCATTCACATATTACATATTTGTCGAAAGAATGAAACACTCAGTTGTATTGGTCAGAAGCTGTAAGCATGGGACCCCAGAGCAAATGGCGTATGGCATCTCCACTTCCCCCTCCTCCTTCCTCTTGGCCATAGCCTGCCAAGAGGCTGAGGAAGGAGGAGGAGGAAATTTGTGTTCCTGGTGACCGAGTCCACTCCGCCTACTGTGTTTGCACTGTGTGGAGCTTCAGGACACCCTCATTCTGGCCTAAACCAATTAAGGTTGAGTTTCTGTCATGTGCCTCGTCTCAGTGCTGCCAGCACACAGCTGTATTCAGCTGTTTAGAGCCTGTTGAAGTCAGTGGGGCATACTGGCTAAGGGCATAGACACTTGATCAGGTGATTACTCTGCCACATCTAGTTTCTGTCCCCTTGACAAAATTTCATAACCTTTCTGTGCCTTGGTCTTACTGTCTGTAAAATGCAAAAGACCTCATCCTGTTCTTCCTGGGATTAAATGGGATCATCCATGTGAAATCTTCAGCATAGGTGAAGTTCGTGCTGAGTATTCAATTAAAATGGGCTGTTGGGCCGGCCCGGTGGCATAGTGGTTAAGTTTGCACACTCTGCTTCAGTGGCCCAGAGTTTGAGGGTTTGGATCCTGGGCACAGACCTACATACCGCACATCAAGCCATGCTGTGGCAGCATCCCACATACAAAGTAGAGGAAGATTGGCACGTGTTAGCTCAGTGAAAATCTTCCTCAAGCAAAAAGAGGAAGACTGGCAACAGATGTTAGCTTAGGGCCAATCTTCCTCACCAAAAAAAAAAAAAAAAAAACTGGCTGTTGTTACGTACAATTCTAAATAAATGCTGTTTGTTCTATTCATGTCACCTGTCTCTAGGTTGCTAGGTCTGCTTCCCCTATGTCGCTCACCCTGCCCCATCTGGCACAGATCTTTGATGGGGTGGAGCTTTGCGGGAGGTGTAGGTGGAAACCCAGGGGGTTTGGGTGGGAGTTCACCTGTAATTCTGATTGTTCACTAGAGGGGAAGGTTGCTTTGGTGTGAGATTTGTGTGAGTTTGTTTGTTTTAGTTTGGTCTTGGTGATTTCCACAGGGGAAAATAGTTCATAGGGAATAGTGTCACTGTTGGAAACTTGCCTGACTCTCTTTCTCCAGGAGGTAGGGTTCAAACCAGTGGGGATGGAAAAGGGCAGCATCTGAAATGTGTGCTGGGAGGTGAGAGGTCCAAAGTTGAGTCTTATTTTTGGCTGCTTCAAGAGACAGGCCTGGGCCAGAGGGTGGGCACTTGGGTTGGATTTTACTTCCTTATAAAAGACAATGGAAACAGTTCCCCAGTCTTCACCACCTCCCCAAGGCAGAGCCCTGAGTGCTGGCAGCAGTGGGCCTGCTCAGCTGTGCTCCTACCAGTTGGATAAATTACAAACTCAAGGTAATTTTTTTGTGAGAAGGTAATCTGTGTAAGCCAATGAAATATGAAATACTTTCCATGAAAAGAAAATTGAGTGTCATGGAACGTGATAAAAGAGTTGTAAAAAGTTTTTGTTGTCGTTGTCACATTTGGTATGGGCAAAGTAACTCTCAAAGATTAGGGGGAAGTGTCAATAATCGGGAACGCTTCTGCTCAAGTTGCTTTGCAAGTGGCAAGTTCTTGCTCTTCTTTAAAGAAAAAGAGAGAGGTGGGGCCAGCCCCATGGCCCAGTGGTTGGGTTCGCGCGCTCCGCTTCGGCGGCCGAGGGTTTTGCTGGTTCGGATCCTGGGTGCGGACATGGCACCGCTCACCAGGCCACATTGAGGCAATGTCCCACATGCCACAACTAGAGGGACCTACAACTATGTACTGGGGGGATTTGGGGAAAAAAAGCAGAAAAAAATAAAAAGAGATAGGAAATCACGGAGAACACATTGTATGTAGCCAGGGTTAATGCAAGAAAGCAAACAGAACAATGTCAGAACAGCCTTAGCTAATACCAGAGGTTGGCAGATAAATGCACGTCCATATCTTAAAATGTTTATCGTATATAGTGTTTTTTCAGTGTGTATAAATATTATAATTATATATTAATTGTATATATTAACATAATATTATATATATAGTATTTTTTAAATGAATTTCCTACTTTAATGGACTGCTCCATCAATCAGCCAACTATTAATATGTATCAGGTGAGTGGGTTTTTACTGTACTGACAGATGGAGTTGTCCAGTATGTTTTGTTGACTCTTACAGGACTGGTCTGTCAGCTTTGTTTCATAAGGCTGGAACTATGATATATAACTATGTTAATAACCACATTAATAACAGTGTTACCAAAATAACCTGTATCTTTGGATTCCATTTCCAATGGAGTGTCATCTTACAGTCAAACTGATCTTTTAGATTTTTAATCACACGGCTTTTACACTGCCTTCTGAATACTATGTGAAATTGGAATTGAGATAATTGGAATTGTGGGTTGCTCTGGTTCAGCAGGAGCTCAGAGACAACCAGGATTGGTGTGAGTCAGAGTCCAGATGAGGGGAGTGTTGAACAGGATGGGGGAAGGCCCATTTGAACATTGGGGCTTGCTATTTGGTTGACTATGTTTTGACTTCTAGGCATCAGGTACCCAGGTCCAAACATGGGAACAGAGGCAGATCCTTGTAAAGCATGGTGACTTTTTAACTTAGCATTATTTCAGGTTCCCAGTTGTTACCTTTTACACAAATTGATAGTTGAGAATTTACTGCACTAATGCAGTAGCATCTCACAACCTGAAAATGCGTGGCTTGCTTGTTTTCACAGGTTTTGGGACGATGTTTCTTGACAGTGGTGCAGGTCCATTTCCAGTTTCTGACACAGGCGTTACAGAAGGTCCAGCCAGTGGCTCACTCTTGCTTTGCCGAGGTTGTTGCGCCAGAAAAGAAGAACAGCAGCAGTGGCAGCAGCTTGTCCGGCATGGGCCACACACCCGAACTGGAGGAAGCTGTGCGATCCTGGCGGGGAGCTGCTGAGGTAACCCCGTCTTTAGGGAGGGGGTACCCTCTGTTCAAATAGAGGCTCCAGAAGGCCTTTGCCTGTTGGTTCTTAAAAGAGCCATTTTATTTAGAAATATCAGTTTTTAACTGTTAATTGTTAGCTTGTTCATTCATTTAACAGTGAATGTCGTTGTATGTGTCCACTTTGTGCTGGGCATACACCAGGCACGGGGGTGCCAGCCTCTACTCACAACCTTCTAGGAGAGAGGGCTTACAACAACAGGATGAAGGGGCTGTGATGGAGGTGTGTGGGAGCCCCGAGAAAGGGCGCTGCCTCCAGCTGGGAGCAGCGCAGCAAAGCTTCTGGGAAGAGGGACCAGGGAGAAACGCCTGGAGCCTAAGTCTGGAAAGACAGGCTAGAGCTGGCTGTGGAGAATAAGTGGTCAGCCAGGCAGCGAGGGGGGGCTGTAGTCAGTAACAACACGTTTCTTGCAGGCATTTTAATACTCCTTTGTTTCTAAGGACTGGGAGAAAGCCTTCCAAATCAAGACTTTATAACTAGGACTTCCCGTTCCATTTTACAGAGTACAGGATAATCTGTAGTTAAGGAGTAGTGTACTGATTTATTATATAATGTCTAGTTTGAATCATGCCAGAATTAAATTGACAAAGTATTTTACTTTATGTTTTAGAAATCTCCTTTAATCAAATTTTTAAACATGATTTTTCACATTTTAACATTGTACATTCTCTAATTTTGTTAGTATTTCAGTTTTATGCTGGTCTGCCGCATTGTTGTTATTTCTTTTGAATTTTCTGTCCCTTCGTTTTTCCTGTTAGCTTGTTTGTTTTGGTCTCTCTTTCATGTTAAGGGCTTTCCTTGGCTTTCTTGGTGTTTGTCAGAGCAGCACTGAAATGCTGTCATGGGGTCATGACCTTTGTCTTGTCATCCATGTCCTCCTGGCTGCTGGATTCCAGCCTCCTGGTCATGCAGTTCACATTCACACCCTTAATACCTGGCTCACTGTCTTCTCCACTCCACCTGCCGGCATCATTCATGCTGAGAACCACCCCCCTACACACGAGGCCTGCTGGTGGTCCCTTGACCTCCTCACCTTGACCTTTCCCTTCACCTGTTTCCTTCTGTCCAGGCCTTTCCACCCTCCTGACTTAGCTTCCAGCCAGTGATCCTACCCGACACTACACTGAGAAAACAGAATCACCCTGGCAGCTGCCCCTCTTCTTTGCAACACCAATGACGCCCCTCCCCCCACCCAGATCCTCTTCTCTTCCTTCCCCTTCATTACAGTGGAGGAGGGGCCCTCTCCTCCTGTCCAGGGCCTGCCGTGTCCCCGCCCTTCCCGCACCCTCAAGGCTTCTGTAGTGGGACCCTGTGTTCTCTCCCTCCTCCTCAGCGTACTCCCATCAGTATGTAAGCAAGCTTTACAAACACAGAAATCCTCCCTGCCTCACCTGGTGACTCTGCTCTTTTCATAGCCAACTTCTTGGAAGAATTGTCCACCTCACTTTTGATTCATCTAAAAAAGATTATGAAACATTTCAGGCAGATAAGAAATGTCACACATACCCATCTATCTTCCTTTTAGCTTTGTCAGATGAATCTTAACTTTCTGCTACATTTGCTTCACTCCTTTTATTTTTTAACAGAAAAATATTATTACAAATGCAGTTGAATTCCCTTTGTGCCACTCTGCTATCTTAGTCACATCCCTTCTTCTCTAGATGGAACCTCTTTTGAATTTGGAGTTTGTGACTCCTGTGCATAATTTTATATTTTTATTCTATATGCATGAATCCATAAGTAATGTAAGGTATTATTTTACACAGTGTGAAACTTTATATAAATGGCATCATTTAGCTTACCGAAATCTGGCTTCTACTCCTAGTCCAGAACATTTCTTCTCTTGGTCAAGGTCACTGGTGCCTTCTGTGTCGCCAAATCCAGGGAACCCTTTGACTCCATTCAGCAGCTCAAAGCCTCATGGGCCCTTGGAAATCCTCTCTTCTTGTGGCGTCCCTGAACCAGGCATTCTTAGTTACCCTCTTACCTCTGGGGCCATCCTCTCCATCTACTTTGCTAATTCCTCCTCTTCAACATAGTTTATGAATGTGAGTTTCTCAAGGCTCAGTTCTAGGTGCCCTTCTCCCTAGGAGATCTCCACTAGTCTTGGGACTTAAAAAACGGCCTGTGTGCTGGGCACTCTCAAATGTGTGTGACTAGTCCACTTCTCCAGTGGGCTCCAGGCCCCTGTATTCAGCTGCTGCTTGCCACAGGTATCCAGGTGGCTCAGGCTTAGCTTTCCCACACATGCCTGTTTCTCTCCTCATCTTCCCCATGCTAACAAGTGGTGCCATTCCACACTGGATCATTCATGTAAGAATCCTCCAGGCTTTGCGTCACATCTACGTTCAATCCATAAGAAAGCCCTGCAGGTCCCACCTCCAAAATATTATCCCAGATCTGTCCCTTTCCTTCCATGTCCACTGTCACTGTGCTAGTTCAGGGAATCATTACTCTCCCCTGACACTTGCAGTAGCTGGACTCCCTTCTCCCCTCCCTGTCTTGCTATCCTTCATCTCTCTCCACTTAAAATTGGATGATGTTGCTCCCCATTTCCTTAGGGTAAAGTATGGACCCATGACTATGACCTGCCTAGTCCTGCAAAGTCTGTCTCCTGCCTTGCTCACCAGCTTTATCTGAGGCGACTATCCCCCTCTCTCACTGGGTTCTAGTTTTTTTGCCAACCCATCTGCCTGTCCTACCCCTACCCCGTTGACTGCCTCCTCCTCCTCCTCATTAAATTCTCAGCCTGCATGCTGATTTCTGTGTCCAGCTGATTTCTGTGTCCATGCTGTTCTGTGTCCCTGTTATAGTTCTTTGTTTTCCTTGGTGTGTTTTTCTCCGTTTTTAATTTCTTTAATGTTTTACTTGTTTGCCTTTTCAGCCTGTGAAGCCATCAGCTCCACTGTCCAGTGACACCTAACACAAGACCTTTTGGGCTAAACATTTGACTGAATGAAAGATTCTTAGAAAGAGAGTCAAATGGTTTTTAAACTGAGAGACTGTTAGGGTTCAGGGAGTGGTTGGAATGGTATTCTTATATAATTTGTGAAGCTTTGGAACTTTATAGCATTATTACTGATAGTTACTTTCCTGTAGTCCTGCAATTTTTTTAAATATGACAACCCCTACACAGGCCTAGGAGAACAAAAATTAACTGTTAAAAAATGTTATTTGTTGCACAAATATTATTGCAACAAAAATAGACATTGAAAAATTGAAAGACAGTTCGTCTTGAATCTCTCCTCCCATCTAATAAATCAAATATGTATTTTTCTGTATTCTCTAGTCCTGACCTATATGTATAGATAATTCTTACATTTCATCACGAGATGCAGATTAGTTTCTTCTTGGTTTTCTGTCTTGCTTGTCTTATGTACTCTTCATAAACATAAGGACTGAAAAATAAGTATTTAATTTTTCTGTGCAGATTTTAAAAGTTCTGTTCTTCCTTTAATGTTCCAACGTATGTTTTTTTTTCTGTTCTGTATTGGTGTGGCCTTTTTTTTTTTCCTGGAAACTCCAGTGCTAATAGTCTAGGTTATCTCTTTTTAAAGCAGAGAGATTTAAAGTGTAAATGTTTTAGATACATAAAAAATAAAGAATAAGTAGGTAAGTCCTTTTTCCAGGGTTTCTTAAATACGGTAGTGCTATGTTAGGTTTACTTTCTCTTCAAGATGCTCAATGTAGTCTTTCAAAATTTCTTGCTGCTGCCTTCGTAATATGAACAATCCAGAATGTCTGGTTTGTATTTAATGCTTAGATGGCGTCTTGCTTTATTTTAGTTGTTTTTTTTGTTTCTTAATTTTGCTAGTATCTGTAGGCTCCTCTTTCACCTGCCAGTTGCTATTTATGTTGTAGGCAACATCTAGACTAAGAGAAAGAGGCTGTGATGGCCGCCTGGCAGGGATTGAAGTTCAGCAGCTCTTCTGTTCTCAAAGTGCAGCAATTCCTGAGCACCAGCTAAAAGAACTGAACGTAAAAATCGACAGTGCTTTGCAAGTAAGTTTTTCAGAACTGGCACATTGGTATCAGAGGGATAGAAACAAGGAAGGGAGTTAAAGTTGTGATGTTGAACAGTTGGAAAGAGTAATAAGATAGTAGTTGGCCTGAAGTCTTTTAATAATGATAGAAATTTTAAATTTCTGTTTTCATTGGACTCTGTCATTTAAGATCTGCTGTATAATCTTGGTTCTTGAAAACAATTTCTTTGCAGGCATATAAAATAGCTCTGGAAAGCTTAGGCCACTGTGAATATGCAATGAAAGCTGGTTTCCACTTGAATCCGAAGGCGATTGAAGCCAGTTTGCAGGTAAGCTTTTCTTTCCGGTACCTCTGTGGTATAGCCACACCAGGTGAACCAAGTGTCTTGACAGATGAGCAGTGGGTCACCTCTCCTCTCCTCCCCAAACCTCTTCCAGGGCTGCTGCAGCGAGGCAGAAGCACAGCAGACAGGGCGGAGGCAGACTCCCCCGCAGCCCATGCAGTGTGAGCTTCCCACCGTCCCCGTGCAGATCGGATCGCACTTCCTGAAGGGTGTCTCCTTCAATGAGTCGGCCGCTGACAATCTGAAACTTAAGACGGTAGCTTTCCATGGGGTTCCAACAACCTGAGTGTGAAGCTGAAAATAGAGTTCTTCAGGAAACCTGAGGGCTTGTAAAGATAAAAAATTTAAAAAAAAAAGAACTGAAGTCAAGGCAGGAGGCATTGATCTTCCTCAGTAAAGTGGTGTCTAAAAGCAGGCTATGGGGGCTGGCCCCGTGGCCGAGTGGTTAAGTTCGCGCGCTCCGCTGCAGGCGGCCCAGTGTTTCGTTAGTTCGAATCCTGGGCGCGGACATGGCACTGCTCATCAGACCACGCTGAGGCGGCGTCCCACATGCCACAACTAGAAGAACCCACAACGAAGAATACACAACTATGTACCGGGGGGCTTTGGGGAGAAAAAGGAAAAAATAAAATCTTTAAAAAATAAAAAAATAAAAAAAATAAAAGCAGGCTATGGTTGGGGCCGGCCCGGTGGCGCAGCGGTTAAGTTCGCATGTTCCGCTTCTCGGCGGCCCGGGGTTCGCTGGTTCGGATCCCGGGTGCGGACATGGCACTGCTTGGCAGCCATGCTGTGGTAGGCGTCCCACGTATAAACTAGAGGAAGATGGGCACGGATGTTAGCTCAGAGCCAGGCTTCCTCAGCAAAAAGAGGAGGACTGGCAGTAGTTAGCTGAGGGCTAATCTTCCTCCAAAAAAAAAAAAACATGAAAGCAGGCTATGGTGACTTTTTTCAATGAGACATTTGCCAAGTCAGTTTTACTCATAATTTTGTTCAGATGTCTAACATAAAGAGTTTTGAAAGTACACTGTTTATGATTAATGTTTCAGTGGAGTTTTGTGAACTAAGTAAGAGGAGAAAACTTCTCATGATACTGCAGTGATTATGACCATTTGTGGAGCATCATGTGTGCCAGGCATTGCTCCCAGTGCTTGACTGGCGTTGTCTCATTTAATACTTACCCATGAAGTGGGTGCTGCTCTTTTCCCCATTTGACAGAGAGAGGAACAGAGACCAAGGTCACACAGCTAGAAAGTACTAGACTGGAATTTGAGCTTATGCAGTCTGTTTCCAGAGCCTGCATACCTGACCACTTGGTCATCCAAAATAAAGTTGAGGTTTTCATTGGTATTTACTTTTACCAGATGATTTTATTTCCTTATTTAGAGGGATTCAGGGTTTCGAAATTCCTCAGCCAATTTGCATCAGCAGATTGCTAAATAATGCTATATTTTGTGTTAGTGTAGAAATCACATGTGTGTTAATGCATGTGTCTTCAAATCTAGCCACTCCCTCTACAGGCTGAGAAAATCTCTTGAGTAGTATCTGATGATAATTACTTAAGAAATTAAAATGACATGATTTGGGGGTACTTAAACAAAACGCTTTTCTCTTGAGGACTGTTATTTACCTGTAAATGATTTTCTGTAAATTTTAGAACCTTGTATGGCTTTATCTTGAGGTGTGAACTCTCTGTTTATCCATCTGTAGCATACGATGTTACAGTTGATCAAGGAGGCCGGCTGCTATAATGGACTCACACCCAGGGATGATTTTCCTGTGACTGAAGTGCTGAACCAGGTGTGCCCGTCCACATGGCGAGGTGCCTGCAAGACTGCCGTGCAGCTGCTCTTTGGCCAAGCTGGACTGGTGAGTGAGCATGTGTGATGGATGGGAGAGAAGAGGGAGGGACGTTTCAAGCAAGTGAGGATGAGGTATAAGCACATGAGTGAAAATACTGAATAATTTTAAAAGTTCTTTGGTGCTCCAGAGTTTAGACCACATAGAAAAAGTAAAGAAAGAGCAGGATTAAAGAGTCTTTTTTTCCTTTATAGTATGTATTTGCAGGGAACACAGGTGCAGGATGATTCCCTACCCTGTGATCCCAGGGCACCTTTGCGTGTGACTGACAATGAACCTTTAGATTCTGGTTCTGGGGATGGGAGGAGAGAGGAAACACCTGCCTGGTCCAACAATGGCTGTTACTTGGACAGGAAGTCTTTTCCGAAGGATGTGGGAGAGCAGCTGTGGCAACTCGTTTACAGCAGTGGCAGTCCGCTCTGCTAGAGGCTGAATCTGGAATCACAATAAACAACTCTGCACAGCTTTACCCGTTCTCAAATGTTACCGATTTGGTTTTAAAGTGTTTTATGATTATTTTCCTAAATTCTTTTAGTTATTTGAAAATATATTCATCACTTTGTCCAGCTCTTTAAATTGTGTAGGATACAATATCTGTGTAATATCAAAGACTCTCCTCCAAATAAGAGGAAATAGTTGAAAGGAGGATTGGTTCTTCATCTTTCTGTTTTTGTAATTCTGTAATTCTGTTTTTATTGATGGTTGAGGATAAAATGATCTATAAAAAAGCTTCATCCACTTCTGGCTTGTATTCAGTCATTACAAATGAGGTTTTCTGAAACATTCGTTTGATTTTTAATGACATTTTTACTTCTTTCAAGTGCATAAAGTAAAAAAATACTAATATAAAGGAAACAATGTAATTCCTAATTAACATGTTTATAGTTTGGAGGAAGTGCTAAAAGTGCTTGCAAAGTTCAGTACATCCTGCATTCAGAATTTGGTTTCTGTTTATTGGCATTACTGTATTCAGTCATCTTTATTACTTGCTGCTGTCTCTGTGGGGCTCCTGACTGGCCTTTGCGTAACTGCCTTACAGGGAGAAGAGTTGTTGCCAGAGTCGCTCAGCATCAGTATGCTCATGTATTGGATTTGTTGGTGATCTGTTTTCCTCTCTGAAAGCTGATTATTGTTTTTGTTTCTCTTTTAGGTGGTAGTTGACACGGCACAGATTGAAAATAAAGAAGCCTATGCCCCCCAAATCAGTTTAGAAGGCTCCAGAATCGTGGTTCAAGTCCCATCCACATGGTAACATGATTCTTATATTAACACAAGCCTAAGCTCTGATTGAAGTGTGCACATCTATAAAAGTTGCTTTGTTTTTGACAAACCCCCTGCTAGCTGACACAACCGGTCTTCCTGCCAGTGCAGGTTTAGGGGCAGTGGTGGTGTGTTACTGCCAGGTGTCATGATGATTGGTCCGTGATGAGGGAGCCAGATGTCTGAAAGATCGTCTCATTCACCAGTAACTTAACTGAAATGTTATATATTCGTGGATCATGATGAGCATTATTATCTTTTCTTTGTTACTCAGTCCACAGCTTTTAAACAGAGCATATCATTTTCTCTTAAGTCACCCAGTGACTTAAGTTCCACTAAAGCTGAGTGGGGAACACAGAATTCCTCTCCTCCTTTGTCTGTTCCAATGACCCAGATAATCTTGAGCTCATGTCATTACACACATAGTGTCATCGCAAATCTGGGGACAGACTCAGCCATTTTTATTTTTAATTATTTAATTATATTTGTAAACTTGTAATAAATAAAGTATTCTTAATTTATTAAAACAAAACTCCTACAAATCAGTAAGAAAATGGGCAAGGTACATGAACAGGTAAATCAGAGAAGATGTATGGTCAACAAGCCGATGTGTAACCTCACCTTATAAAGAAAGGCAGCATTTGATAAATTGTTTTGGAGTCATAATACTAGGTTTGGACCAACTGTACCAAAAAAGGACACAGAAGTTGTTGAAAAAGTCACGCAGCCTTTCTGGAGGGCAGTTTAGTATGTCAGAAGCCTAAAATAAGGCCTATGACCTCAGCAGTTCTACACTTCCCCCTCAAGGGGTTTGTCCTTCTGATATCCAGAGAGATCAGCTGTGAGGATCAGCATCATGGCTTTGTTAATAAACAGCAAAAATTAAACATTTATTGGAAGACTTCTGCTATTAAAATTGTAATCTTAATGAATGTTTAACTATATAGAAAATATTTAAAGCATTTAAGTAGGAAGAGATGGAAATAGTAAGAAACAATGGTACTATTCGTGCCTGTGTGGACTAAAGTGGTAGCTAAGTAGTGCATTCGAATTGTATTTAAACCATTTCTCCTTGAAATGTGAGGGTCTGGTGGTACATTCTGCCAAAAGTTGCAGAGCTTGTTAATATATCAAATAAGGGTTGGCAGTTCACTTCACGTCCCAAAAGCTCCCTTTTATGAGTTTCCCCCCTAAAATTTTTAGTTTGATTATTGAGATGTTATACTGTTTTCTGAAATGAATGGTAATATATATATATCTTTATTCATATCAAACATTAAATTAAAAGCTCACTTTTCGGGGCCAGCTGCTCATTCCACTTTGGCAGCCCAGGGTTTCGCAGGTTCAGATCCCAGGCACAGATATGGCAGCACTCCTCAGGTCATGCCGAGGTGGCATCCCACATGCCACAACCAGAGACACTCACAACTAGAATATACAACTATGTACTGGGGGCTTTGGAGAAGAAGGGGAAACAAAAGAAGAAGAATACTGGCAACAGATGTTAGCTCAGGTGCCAATCTTAAAAAATAAAAGCTCACTTTTTCTGTAAGATTTTTGTCCTGAATTCTTAATTTGTTTTCCAATTCAAGCTCTTAGTGAAAAATGTTAAACTTAACCAGGATTCTCATTCTGCAGAAAACAGTTTGAACTTGTGGATTATTGGGTGAATATAAACAGCTAGTACTAAAATGGTGAACACTTCAGTTTACTTCCAAAACTCTCCCTGTATGATTGGTTTCCTTTCCAATTCATTGCACCTCCGTAAAAGCCCTTGCAGACTGGGATTCCTTGGAGAGGCTCCCTCTGCTGGCTGCTTTTAGTAAAAAGACAGAGTTTTCATTTTTTTGTTTCTTTCCAATTACAGAATATGTGCTTGTTGTTTGAAGATCTCAAACAGAACTGGTTGCTTTACTCCACCTTTGGAAAAATGAAATTGTTAGCACAGCCAGTCAAGAGTTTATTATATGCTTTGCTTTTAGTAAAATGAAGTGTACAGCTGGCAGATATGGTTTTTTCCCAAAGTAATACCTTACTTAGATTTTTTTAAAAAATTTTTTTTTTCCTTTTTCTCCCCAAAGCCCCCTGGTACATAGTTGTGTATTTTTAGTTGTGTGTCCTTCTAGTTGTGGTGTGTGGGATGCCGCCTCAGCACGGTTTGATGAGCGGGTGCTATGTCCGTGCCCAGGATCGGAACCCATGAAACCCTGGGCCACTGAAGCGGAGCACATGAACTTAACCACTTGGCCATGGGGCTGGCCCCAGATTTTTTAACTGTCATATTTAAGCTATCCATCCATTCTTTCTTACAACAAATACTTACTAAATACCTAGTATGTTACAGACACTGTTCTGGACTCTGGGAATTTAATCCCAGAGCAAGGCAGACGGGGTCCCTGCCCCTAATAGAGCTGACTTTGTAATGGGGAGGGGGCGGAGACAGCTAATAAGATAAGAGTTAAGTGTAACACTGGCAAGTGTATGGAGGGAATAAGAGTAGAATGACATCATATGATAGAGAATAACTAGGGTAGAGATGGGGAGGGGAGGCTATTTTGAAGGAGAAGGCCAGTCATGAAGGGCCTAGTTGAGGATGTGACATTTGAGAGGAGCTGGCCATGCAGAGAGCAGATGGGGAAAGCGTTCCAGACAGAAGGAACAGCAAATGCAAAGGCCTGGAGAGTGAACCGGCATGGCTGGAGATGTGGTAGGTGGTGATAAACAGGGGGTCCTAGAAGCTAGGACTGGCAGGGTCCCTGAGGGACTGGATTTTTATCTAAGAACAGGTAGAGGATTTTAAGCAACCCTGGGTGATTTATCAAAAGAATGGGTTTATGGGGCCGGCCCAGTGGTTAAGTTCGCATGTTCTGCTTTGGCAGTCCAGGGTTCTCCAGTTCAGATCCCAGGTGCGGACACAGCACCGCTTGGCAAACCACGCTGTGGTAGGCGTCCCACATATAAAGTAGAGGAAGATGGGCACGGATGTTAGCTCAGGGCCAGTCTTCCTCAGCAAAAAGGGGAGGATTGGCAGCAGATGTTAGCTCAGGGCTAATCTCCACCCCCCCCCCCAAAAAAAGAATGGGTTTAGTCTCTTAAGGGGATTTTATTGATCAACTCTCAAGACTAATGAGTAAAATGAAAATGCCAATTTGTTGATTTTCAGAAAGAGAAATTATTATCTCCAAGAATTGTGGTACTCCTCTCTGCATGGCCAGCAAATGCTCTCCCAGTGGGCAAACTTATGTGACCAGCCAGATCACAAACAGAAGTTGGCTGGGAAGTATACAGCAAGTGTGTCATGATCATCAGTGATGCCAGGCTGAGAGAATCGGCTGCATGAACCTTGGCCGGGTATACTGGCCAAGATTCTCTCCCAGGAGTCCGGGACTGGTTGGGCACTGGCAGAACTTTCCTTGTTGCTTGCCTTTTCCAGAGTTTCTGAGGCTCACCAGCTCTCATTCTCACAGATATATTTCTTCTCAAGCCAAAATCATCTTGGGGAGAGCTGCTGCTTCCTTAGGGGGGCTTCGCAAGGGTTGGTTTCAGCATTTAACTCCCAGAGTGCTCAGGAACAGACAGACAGTGTCTTCCTGCTTCTGCCTCTCAGAAGAGGCAAAAGGTGCCCTTGGTGGAGGTGCCCTGAATGGGCAGTGGGGACTGAGTGGTGGGAAGCAGCTCTCAAAGAGGAGAGCAGCTCGGGCAAAGGCAGCAGCACAAAGACAGTTCCTGAAATGTGAGCAAACCCAACATATTCAGGGAGTGAGAGAAGGCCTTGCGGCTGGGACGAGGTGAATGGAGGTAGCAGTGAGGAGAAGTGTGGCCAGAGAGGCAGGAGCAGCCAGGTCACAGAAAGCCTTGGGGGCTGTGGTAAGTGTTTAGATTTTATTTCAGTCATGACGGGATACCACTTGAGGGGTTTACACAGGAGAGTAATGTGTTCTGTTTTGTGCTATAGGAGGCTCACTCTGGCTGCAGTGTGGAGGATGGGCCTTGAAGGGACAGGAGTAGAGAACAGGAGACGAGATGGGAGGTTGGTCCTGATACACAGATAGTCATGGTTTCTTGGAGTAGAGTGGTAATAAGAGAGGAGGTGAGAAGAATACATTGTGGAAGAGAGCTGTCAGGATTTGCCGATAGATTAGATGTAGGATGTGATGGAGCTAGAAATGACTTGCAGGTTTCGGGTTAGATAGTTGTGTTGTTTACTTATTGAGCAAGTCCGTAGGAATCGGAGTGGTTTTTGGAAGAACAGCGGAATCGAGAGTTGTGCTGACCAGGCTCCCTTTGAGCTGCCTGTTAGGTGTGCAAGGAGAGATGGCAGTGTGAGTTAGATATGTGGGAGTGGAGCTCAGGAGAGAGGTCTAGGCTGGTGAAGGAAATTTGAGTCTTCAGTGTAGAGGTGGTTTAGAGCCCTAGGACCAGGTGCAGTACTTGAGGGAGAAGAGACAAAGCCTGGAATGCACCACCATGCAGAGCTAGGGGAAAGAGGAGCAGGAGGAATGGGCAGGGGAGGCCAAGAAGGAGCTGCCACCCAGGTAGGAGCGAAGTGGAGCACGTGTGGGGTCACCAAAGCTACAGAAGACAATGATCCAGGAGGAAAGACACATTGCACCATGTTGTTGAGAGATTGAGTAAGGCGGAGACAGGTAACCAACCCTTGAATTTGACAAGATCTAAGTGTTTGATAAAAGCTTTTTAGTGGAGTTGTGGGGATGAAAGCCTGATCAGAGTGGGGTGAGAGGAGAATAGGAGGGAAAGAAGACAAGGAGACAATGTCTTCTGCTAAAATGAGGAGCAGAGAAATTGGGCAGTATCTGGAGGAGAATGTGCAACTGAGAGGTGATTGGTGAGACTGGTTTGTTTGCCAGAGGGAATATCACAGGGGAGAAATAGGGTGATTCCGTGAATGAGGTCCGTGGGAAAGCAAGAGGGTATGGAGCAGGTGGTACTCAGGTTCAGCCTGTGGCAAGAGCAGGGCATGACTTCCGCTGTGACAGGAGGGGAGGCTGGGGGCGTGGGCACGGACACAGGTGAACTAGGGGCATTAGTGGTGGGGAGACGAAGTAGAGCTCATCTGCTTATGTGTTTTCTCAGGTAAGTCAGAGTTGAGGTAGGAGGGATTGGGAGAGGTGGCAAGGATAGCAGAGCTTTGAGGAGAGAGGAGGAGGGTGAAATAGTTATCTTGGAAAGGGGAGAAGTTAATTTACGGGAAGCCCATGCTTGGTGCTTACCTGAAATTTGTGACAGGTCCAAGGGCAAACTGTGAGGTTTTTTCCCTCTGTTGCCCTTTAGTTTCTTGGGTACAGGTGTGGAGTGCTGTAGAGGAAGGGAGGGGCAGGGGCATTATGGAAAGAGTTTGTAAAGGAGTAGATGCTGTGCCAGACCATGGAATCTCAGCAGGGTAGAGAGGAAAGTCAGGGCCAGAGCCAGTGTTGAGCAGTGAGAGGACACTAGGGTCCCTGGATGGCAGCCCCTCCGCCAGACTCTAGATAGTTAGAAATCCATGGAGTCCCCAGACTCTGTGGTCTCCTCCTCCTTTTTTGAAGCAGCAAGTTCTAATGTTAGCCCTGTCATTCTCTAAGTGTTCTTATAATTACTGAATTTTTATTCGGTGCCAGAAGTACACTGAAGTTGTAGCCTTTTTTGTGAGGCCTGCCTGAAACACCTTTGCAGAGCAGTGCAGCCCAGACTGATGCAGCCTGGTTCGTGTCTAGGTGCCTGAAAGAAGACCCCGCCACCATGTCCCTGCTGCAGAGGAGCCTTGACCCGGAGAAGACGCTGGGCCTGGTGGACGTGCTCTACACGGCTGTGCTGGACCTCAGCCGCTGGAGGGCGGGGAGGTGGGTGTCCCCGCCACCGCTTGAATTGGTTTGCATTCAGGGGCACAGCTAGTGACAGTGTGCAGTGTGAGCACATACAGTTTCATGTGTGCTCATATCACTCGGAGTATGTGAGTAAAAAAGGCAAGAAAGAGAACTTTCCAGTAACTTTTTAGTTTGGAATAATTTCAAACTTAGAGAAAAGTTGCAAGAATAGCACAAAGAATTGCTCTATACCCTTTACCCAGATTGCCCAGTTTGTTAACATTTTTGCCTCTGTTTGTTTTGTCATTTGAGAGTAAGTCCATCAAGAAGATTTTAACCGAACTCATTCTCTTTCTGAAGGGAGAGCAGAGAAATGTTTAGAAAATTTCTTATATCCTGCCTGAAATTTATTTATATCTGAAAGTAGCTGACAGCTGCAAGATCATCTCTTTGTGAATTACTAACTTTAGAACAGGTAGGGGTCTTAAACAGCTAGCAATGTGCCCTCCCCTTTGCTCATCTCATAGCACACACAGACCCACAACAGTGGGATGACATATCCAGGGCCACACCATCCATTACCTGCCCCAGCTCCTGCCCCTCCCCTTTCTATCTCTAGGGCTCTCTTTCAGTACTGGAAAAACGTGCTTGGAAAACTTTGGAAGTAGTAACCATCTGTTCTTAGCATTGTCTGTAAATTACTTCTAAGACAACAGTGCTTCATAGTGTCCCTGAATCCTGCCCATCCACCCCTTTCTGCTCTGTGGATTTGTCCATTGTCCCTCTGCTGGATCTGCCAGGCTTTCGGTCCCCATCCTCCAGGCACAAAGCTGGCCTCAGTCGATTGCATGCTCCACTCTGGCCATGGTTTGCTCTCTCGTGCTGCGGTTAGAGGGTTTCACTCAGACTCCTCAGGCTAGCATCCTAATGTGGTTTTCACAGTCCTGTGTGACACTGAAGATTTTTCATAATAAATGTAGATAGTAAGTGCTTAAATGCTGTGTGTTTAAAACTCTTGGGTGTTCATTTATTTATCTGTAAAATAAGTGAACCTGATACCAACCAGGGAGGTCTTTGTTCTTCTTAAAGTCTTTCTTCAATACAAAGAGATTCATTTCATTGTCCAATTTTTATATTTCTCTCTCTCTCTTTTTTTTTGGTAATACATTTCTGTTTAAATAGGGAACAAGCTTTACCCTGCATACAGATCCAGCTTCAAAGGGAGATCTGTGATTTTGGGAATCAGGCTGACTTGCCTTCTGGAAATGGAAACAAATCTTCAGGCGGCCTACAGAAGACCTTTTCTAAACTGACATCCCGGTTCACCAAGAAGGCTTCGTGTACCAGCTCTAGCAGCAGCGCAAATTATTCCATCCCAAGTACCCCTTCCAAAAACATCTTCATAGCTGGGTGTTCGGAAGAGAAGGCCAAAATGCCCAGTAATATTGATTCAAGGTTACAAAGCATTTTGAACATTGGTAATTTCCCTAGGACTACAGACCCTTCACAGCCAGCTCAGAATTCCAGTAACCAGATGGCCAATGGTTTCCTCATGGAGAGACGTGACAACTTCCTGCAAGGGGATGATGGCAAGGACGAGAAGGGTATGAACTTACCAACTGATCAGGAAATGCAGGAGGTGATAGATTTTCTCTCGGGCTTTAACATGGGCCAGTCACATCAGGGCTCACCACTGGTGACAAGGCGTAATTCTGCTGCCACACCCATGGTGACTGAGCAGAAGGCAGGAACCATGCAGCCACAGCAGACACCACTGCCAGTGCCCCCTCCGCCGCGGCCACCCCAGGCTGGGGCACATACACCTTTGACACCCCAGCCAGGCCTGGCACCTCAGCAGCAGTCCCCAAAGCAACAACAACCCCAGGTCCAGTACTACCAACATCTGCTCCAACCCATTGGACCGCAGCAGCCCCCACCCCAGCCTCGGGCCCCTGGGAAATGGTTACATGGCTCATCCCAGCAGCCAGTACAGCCCGTTGGAGCGGGTCTGTCTCCTCTTGGCCAATGGCCTGGCATGTCTGATCTCAGTTCTGACTTATACAGCTTGGGTCTGGTGAGCAGCTATATGGATAATGTGATGTCGGAGGTTTTGGGGCAGAAGCCACAGGGACCTAGAAATAACACCTGGCCAAACCGTGACCAAAGCGATGGAGTCTTTGGAATGTTGGGAGAGATTCTGCCTTTTGATCCTGCAGGTATGTGTGTACGCAACCCACCCCCCTACCCCCGAGCTTTTAACATAAATGTAATGACTGAGGACTTCATAAGGTCTGTCTGCCACAGCCTTATTTGTGGGGGGAAGTGACTTAATCCCCTTTTAAGGACCCTTGCTCACTGTCTGATGGCAAGTATGAGGCAGATCCAGCAAAGGTAGGAAGTAGTGGTAAGAATGAGGCTAAGAACGTAAGTGGAACTATTTTTCTCACTTTACAGAGGACATGTTTGAGGCTAGAGAAGTTACTTGAGTGGCTCAAAGTCTCATACTTCAAGTGGGCTCCAGTTTGGGCCCTCCCATTCGTGGGAGCCAAGACAGCTGGCCCTTTGTGAGCTGCCTTTTTCCTGATTGCATAACCTGTTCTGTGATTCTTTTTTGCCTAAACTCTAGGATCTATGAAAGGTGGTAGGGCACCATCCTGCCTTCATAGAATATAGCTTCTCTCGGCCTAGACAAAACAAAAATACAGTGGAAGGAGGAATTCATTAAGGATAAAAGCCAAAATTAAGTAAATTTAAAAGAAAAACATAGTAAGAATTGTAAATAAATCTAAAAGAAGCATCTTTGGAAGACCAATAAAATAGACAAACTAATTTATTGTAAATCTGATTAAGAGAGTGCAAAGAGAAACAAGATTAGGAAAGAGAAAGGAGTCATAACTACAGATATAGGAGAGATTAAAAGAACTTTACATTACTGCATACAACTCGATGACAATATATTTGAAAATTGAGTGGAAAGTACATTCTTTCCTAATAACATATACATTACCAAAATTGCACCAAGAGGTGGAAAACCTGCCTAGGTCTATTTCAGTAGAAGACATTGGAAAGGTAATTCTGAAGCCAAGATGATTTTACTAGAAAAACTGTATAAGGTTTATAAAAAAAAGCAAACTATAATGCATCTCACTTAAGAGTATGAATAGATGCAGGAAAATCTAGCAGTGTATCAAAAGAGTAATATCTGTTACTAAACCTGGTTCAGAGTTGTAAGGAGGTCCGGTATAAGGAACTCTTCTACTGTACAGTAACCTATCACATCAACTGATTAAATGAGAAAAACTCAGACAGCAACAGATACTGTAAAGACATTTGGTGAAAGACATCAGCAAGTCTTAGAAAATAAATAAATAAACCCCTCAAAATAAAACATGAATAGAAGGGAAGTTCTTGAATATAAAAAAGACTGTCTCCCAAAAGCCAGTAGCAAGTAGTACTTTGTATAGCGAAACAAAATCATTCCAGGTAAGATGAACAAACACACAGACGTTCAGTGGTTGCCGTGGGGAAGGGGGCTGGGGAGTGGGCACAAAGGGTGAAGGGGAGCACTTACATGGTGACAGACAAATAATAATATACAACTGAAATTTCACAATGTTGTAAACTATTATGACCTCAATAAAAAAAGGAAACATCATTCCAGTTAAAGTCAAGACCCAGACTAGGTGGCAACTATTAGTACCAACGCCAGCTTTGTGTTGGATTTTCTAGCAAGTACAGCAAGACAAAACCAAAGGAAATGAGTGGTGTAAATTTTAGAAAAGGATAAATTAAAAAACATATCTCTTTTCTGGCAATAGAATTGAAAAAAACAAGATTCCTCAATAAAAAACTTCTAGAATTAGTAAGCGACTCTGGTAAGGTGGGCAGATATAACACAAACATAGAGCAATTAATTACTTTTTTCTCTAGCAAAAGGTATACAGAAATGGAAAATATGTTTCTTTCACAAGGAGAGTACTGTGAAATACTTTAAATAGGTATAGCAAATATTTATATAAATAACCACCAGGAGAGGAGAGCCCTGCTAAACAACCCAGCATTAACTATTAGAGGAAAGAAATGTTTTCTTACGTCTTCTAAGAATTCCTCATACTGCTGTTCCTTCTTTCTTGTTCTTCCTCTCCTTGGGTGGGCGGCTGGGGAACCTTGTGCTGGGGACACCACAATGCAAACAGTTCCACCTGCTCTGGGCGAGTGAGCCCCCTGGCTGCCACCGACTGGGGTGAGCAGGGCACATTTTCTCAATCGGGGATAAACGGTCTGTACATTTTTTGACAGTCATGTGATTAAATCCAGAGTATAAATGGTGTTTGGCAGGATTTTACCATCTTTGATCTCCATTGAGGCCAACCAGGCTGTGTGTGTGTGTGTTAGCTGAGCTAACAGCTGTTGCCAATCTTCTTTTTTCCCTTCTTCTCCCCAAAGCCCCCCAGTACATAGTTGTATATTCTAATTGTAGGTCCTTCTGGCTCTGCTGTGCCTCAGCATGGCTTGATCAGCGGTGCTAGATCCATGCCCAGGATCCGAACTGGCGAAAACCTGGGCCGCGGAAGCGGAGCGTGTGAACTTAACCTCTTGGCCACCAGGCCAGCCCCAGCCTGTGTGTCTTTAGCCTAAGAATCCTTTTAGCTTTTCTTTGGGTGTTCCTTTGTGACCTTAAAGTCCTTAATGTAGCTTCCTGCAGCCCCTGCCCTGAGGGCATAGGGTCTAGCTAGCCCTCTTTGCAAATTAAGGAAGGGCATTCCTCGGGATAGGTGAATTACAGGAGGCACCCCTTGGGCAGGGCTGGTTAGACCTGAGCGCCCCCTGGCAGGCACACACAGCCCCTGGGAGCCCTTGATTTCAGCCCCTACTCTCCCCTCATGTTCATGCAGTGCACAAATGGCACAGTCTCATGCAGTGGTCTGTGGCGGTACCCAGAGCACAAGCTAATAATGGGATTTTACTCCGGCATCTTTCCCAGCTTGAAGCTAGGAAGTCTATGCTGCTGAGTCATATTCAGTTGTGACCCAATGATATTTTCCTGCCTTGTCTTTTTGACTCTTTCCCTCAGTGCTTTCTTTTCTGTTTTTTTCTCTCATTTGTACTGCCCTGCACATCCTTACTCAGCTCTGTTAAGTGTGTTTCCAGCCACCTATTAATGCATTCTGAAATTTTATCTTATTCGTTACCACTCTTATTATCTTCACACTAAATGAGCAGGTCTGCCATCCATATCCAGGCAAATACTGGATCAGAGTTGGGCCTAAGTGGGAATGGCATATAGTCTCTATCTGGCTGACCCTGATGCTTTGGTCACTTTCAGGTTATCAGTAGACTGAAGTCATCATCTGATTTTCTACGTTGTTAAGTACATAGCACCAGACATTGGACAATTTTAAAGAAATTAGTATTTGTCTTTAAAATTTAGTCACAGATAAAGCAAACCTTTCGTGTTCTCTGTTTCTGTCTTTGATTTACATTCAGCCTGCCTCTGTCCTAGGTGTAGTACCTCCTGACAGTCCCCATGTGCTGGAGCCCCATCTCACCATAGCGGGCTGCTAGGCCAATACTGCAGTCAGGTCGGGGCCGCAGGCCTGCCAGCTCCTCACCACTTTCATTGTGTGTGTGACCAGCATATCCTCAGAAGGTAGGAAAGGAAACAAGAGGCCACTTTGGCCCGAAACCCTGTTTGTCCCTTTGTCTTAACACAGTAGGTTCAGACCCCGAGTTTGCACGCTACGTGGCAGGAGTGAGCCAAGCAATGCAGCAGAAGCGTCAAGTCCAGCACGGTCGACGCCTAGGCAACCCCCGGGGCCACTGGCCTCCCATGGACGATGCCCATCGGACCTGGCCTTTCCCAGAGTTCTTCACAGAAGGGTGAGTGCTGGCTGTGGCAGGGAAGCTGAGTTTGGGACCGACCTGGGTTCCCCCGTGGGGCCTTTGTGCACTCTTTATCAGGCAGTTCACTCCCAAGCCGCCATGTGGGAGAGTGACATGGGGTTAAATCTTCACGGGGTCAGAGTTTTGTGACTGACTGTAGGATGCCAAGTGGCATGATATGTCCCTCTGAACACACCATTGGTATCAATTGATGATTTTCAAGACAAACTCTTCAGCCCTAAACAAGGATCTTATTTAATGGTGTTTGTGAAGTAACTGCACATTTGACATGGTCTTTATGCTGAAATGAGCATGGCTATGAAACCCATGTGATTAATGAATGTGATCCTTTAGACTACAAAAAGCAAAGGTGTACAGTTCAGGTTCCAATGTGTTGAGAGAACTGGATTTTCCTGATAAAGATAACTGCGGAGTGATTTTGCACATCTCTTAATTGCTGCCTGGTTAATACATCTGAACAGCTAAAGATCATCTCAACTTTTTTTGCTCTATGATTTTCATATACAAACCACAGTCTTCTGAGAGGAATAACGGGCAGTGATGCATATGTATTACTTTTGAAATAAGGGAAAGGAAGAAAAGCTTGAGTGTTTAGAAGGCGAGAGATAAGAGACCACTGTTTGGTTGTGAGATGAGTGCAGGGTAAAGACTGTTCTTTTTGGGCTTGGGTCTGGGGTGGGGCTGGCCTTGGGGCCGTGCAGCCAGTGTGCATGCTGGCTGCAGGCAGCCCGGGACCAGCTTTTCTCTTTGGCTTTCAGGGATGGACTACTCAGCAGCTGGGCAGGTGCTCAGGGAGACTCGGCCAGCTCAAGTGACGAGACGTCCTCCGCCAATGGGGACAGCTTGTTCTCCATGTTTTCAGGGCCTGACCTCGTTGCTGCTGTCAAGCAAAGAAGGTATGAAGAGATTTCTAAACCAAACAAAGGACAGAAGGGCACGTATATGTGATCCACAGCTCGTTCTTCTGGAAAGCTCAGGAGCAGCCCCATTGCTCCCCATCAGGCTTGTGGGAGAAAGGCAGAGGGCCTCTTCCAGCACTGTCTTCTGAGGCCTCTGTGGGGCCACCACACAGGCTTACAGCCCAAGTGACTTAATGTTGGGTTGAGTTTTTCCTGGCAGAACAGTCTCATGGAAGTGGTAGCGGAAGAGTCCCAGTATGACAGGCGAGGGAGGGTTCTGGAGACAGAGTCTGCTGATGCTGCCCTGTGCCTACCATGAGGCAGCCCTTCCTGTGGGAGCAGGACCAGGACAACCAAGTTCTCGTCAGGACTCACCCACAGGCTTTGCGACTCCAAACACGGGCCTGGCCCTCTCTGCCTCTCAGTGTCTTTGTCCAAGGTGGAAGTAGATAAAATGACCTTTGAATGGTATTTCAAAGTTGAAAAAAATGGTAATGTAGTATATTCAGATCTAAGAAGTTTTCAGAAGTAGTCACAAAAATTAAAACGGACCCTGAAATAGGAGAAGAATTTGGTTAGAAACAAGTGGAGAGACTGTTGTGGGAGTGAGGAGACAGAGGCCCAGAGGTGGCAGTCTAAAGGCCAGGGGCAGGACTGGGACCATGCAGGGTCCCGCGGTTGATGTCCAAGTTTTGTCTGGATGTCACAAGTCATGCTGTGGAGTGGAAAGGGAGGCCCTAACGGAACAGGGTCAGGCTTCACTGGATAAGCATTGGGGAGCAGGTCGACGAAGGTGGGAGGGTGGCGGAGTGGTGACGGTGGTAATGAGCGATTGTTAATACGGGCTAGGGGGCTTTCTATGTGCCAGGCCCTGGGCTGAGCGTTTACAGTCATTTTCTGACTTCATTCTCACAACCACTCTATTTGTTTGCTAGGGCCACCATAACAAAGGACTGCAGTCTGGGGGGCTTAAACAGCAAAAATTTATTTTCTCACAGTCTTGGAGGCTAGACGTCTGCGATCAAGGTCTCAGCAGGATTGGCTGCTTCTGAGGCCTTTTTCTTTTGCTTGCAGGTGGCCGTTTTCTCCCAGTATCTTCACATGGTCTTCCCTCTGTGTGCACCTGTGTCCTAATCTTCCCTTATAAGGACACTGGCCATTTTGCATTAGAGCCCACTCTAATGACTTTGTTTTAACTTAATTAGTTGTTCGAACACCTTATCTCTGAGGTCCTGGGAGTTAGGGTTTCAACATGTGAATTTGGGGTCAACATATGAAGTTGCGGAGGGACACAATTCAGCCCATGGCAACTACCATATGATGTAAGCACTGTTTTACCCTCAGCTCACAGGTGAGGAAACCGAGGCTCAGAGAAATTTCATTCATTCATTCATTCATTCATTCAGTGGCACCTGTCATGCACCGGTGATATAGCAGCAAACAAAACAAAGTCCACTTCCTTGTAGAATTTATGTTCTGGTGAGGGATGGCAGATAAAAAATCCAAACGTGTCAGGTTGGATTGGGTGCCATGAAGAAAACTTAAGCAGGGTGTAAGGGCAGAGAATGTAGAAGACGCGTGGATTTTTTGTTTTCAGAATGGGGGTCAGGGAGGCCGCTGATGAGCAGAAAGCTGAACAAAATGAGGGAGTGACTGGTAAGGAACTGGCAATGGGGGTGTGTGAGAGAGAAGAATCGAGGGTGATGTGCAAGTTTTTGGCCAGAGCATCTGTGAACGGGGCTGCCATGAACCAAGATGGGGGGCCTGCAGGAGGAGCAGGACTGAGCTGCGGGTAGAGTTGAAGCTTTTGCTTCAGATGTGGGACATGGGAGGCGCTGGGTAGCATCGGAGAAGCCACCTGTAGCACCACATCTGCACATAGGAGCGCCTGCCGGTAGGCTCGTCTGCCTGCTTCTAAGTCTGCTATGTCCTGCCTTTTTCATTCAGCATTAGAACTGAATTTTTCATGGTTAGTGGTAAAACTAACAGGCTTTTATTTTTAAATCACATATCCCCGGTGCATGGTAAACAGTCAGTCAGCAACTGTTGAGTAAATTAACAAAAGGCCAGAGCTGGTGCACTCAGCAGCTGAAACAGCCAGTGCCTGTCCTCATGCCTGCCACCCTCACCCCACCCGACCCCGCCCTGTGACAGCTTGCAGGGGTGCACCGTTCAGTGGTGACTCACCTTATCCCCCTGCATCAGCAGACTTGAGACCTCCCCACCTAGAACCAGTGCCTGGCGACACCGGCCAAGCGGCTAGGGTGTCCCCTGCAGGTAAGCTAGGCAGGAAGCCAGGCGACCACTGCACTGAACTCTTGATTCTTTCAGGAAACACAGCAGTGGAGAGCAGGAGACCAGCACGCTGCCCTCGCCGCCTCTTCTTAGCACAGTGGAGGATGTGAACCAGGTATGGCGTGCCCTGCTCTCTGTGGGGCCCAGACCATGAGCAAGTTTCCAAAGCTTAAGTTTTAAGAGGGCCTCAAGCAATGAGGGGTTCTTTGTGGTGAACAGCTTTTTCCCCATGTTTTTGTCTAAATGATTAGCCATCTCAGCTGACTCAGAGCTGTATATAGAGGAAGCTCTGGGGCTGTGCTGTCCAGTGTGATACCCAGTAGCCACATGTGGCTATCTAAATTGAAATTAACTACATATAAATAAAAATTGAGCTCCTCAGTTGTGCTAGCCATAGTGGCGAGTGGCTGCTATTGAACAGCACATACACAGAACATTTCTGTCATTGCAAGTTCTGTTGGACAGGGCTGTGGGAGGGGTGGTGCTCTCACCCTATCTCCTAGGTGGGAAGAAGGACAGGAGATCTGGGGAGTTGGGAAAGGATGATAAATTGTCAGAAACACCACTAAGAGCTCTCTTCTGTCTCTCAGGATAACAAAACCAAAACATGGCCACCCAAAGCACCATGGCAACACCCTTCCCCGCTGCCCAGCACACTGCCCAGCCCAAGCGCACCACTCTATGCAGTCACCAGCCCCAGCAGCCAGTGGAATGACACCATGCAGATGTTGCAGTCCCCGGTGTGGGCTGCGACCAGCGATTGCAGCGCCGCCTCCTTCACCTACGTGCAGACCCCGCCGCCGCCCCCACCTCCACCAGCACACAAGGCAGCGCCCAAGGGCTTCAAGGCCTTCCCTGGGAAGGCTGAGCGCAGGCCAGCCTACTTGCCCCAGTACTGACCCAGGGCCAGCCTGCTTGCCCGCCCAGAGCTGTTTGGGCCAGTGTCCCCACCCCAGGGCTGACAAGCTGGCACCAGCCCCCCAGAGGACCAGTGCACCCCTGTCCCAGGCAGGGATCCTTGGGAATGGGGGTAGTTGGCAGCTCCAAACCTTTAAGGCCTGGCTTCTCAAACTTTGGAGGCATCAGACCCCTGGAGGGTCAGCTGAAGAGGAAGGTTTCTCACCCTCCTCAGGGAGAGGCTGGGGATCTTCGAGCTTAATAAGCACCTCTGGTAATTCTGATGCAGGGGGGCCACAGGCCACACTATGAGAAACACAGCTCTCAAGTTTGTAGTCCCACTGTGTGTGTTGGGAAGGCATCAGGCCCTGAAGGCTGAGAGCAGAACTGACCATTCTTCTGAGACCCTCCCCTTCCCCCTCCTTAACATGTTGAGTGATGACCACACCAATCACTGTATTTTATAGCTATTTTTCATAGGTTTTTGGTTAAAACATCTGCCTAAAATGGATTCAGTATTTTAAGATAACAAATATAGTGGCTGGAGGTTTGTTCAACACTATCTTTATTTAAGCTTATACAAAATGGGCAAAATACAGAATATTTGTGATCAGAAGCAATCACCTGGGTTTTCTGTGGGTGGGCAGCCCCTTGCCACCCCAGCAGCACCCCGGGGGTGCAACCTTTACTGGATTTACAAAAGCAGGATCGTAAAATGGATGTCAGAGGCGTATTCCTGATGGTGCGTGGAGATGAGCCAGCTGTCTGCTGTCCCTGTGCAGGATGAAGTTCACCTGCTGCCCTCACATCTTCCACACCATGGCCGGAGGCTTCGACACAGTCTCAGAACATGGGGGTGTGCTCAAGGGGCTGCCTCAAGACACCTGCGCTTGAAATTGCAGTACCATTTGTGAGCTGGCTCAAGACAACCAATTCAGATGTAGATAGGAATTAACTTAAAGTCTTTTCTTTTAAGAAACAAAAGCTAAAACAAAAAAAACCTCATTTTCAGTTAACATGTGCCATTAAATAGATAACATCCTGTGGATTTAGGGATATTTTCCAGCCAGAATGGATCCAGAAGAATTGAATGGTGCTTAAATTGAGAAATAATAATAAATATATCTATATAGAATAGACATATCCCACTGTATATTAATTGAGGTTACAGAAGTTCTTTATATAAAACTTATTTAAATTTTTCATATGTCATCTTTGAAAAAGTCTAATTGAAAAAATCCATAATATTTTCTGGTATGAAAGTTTGACAGTATTAATATTTTTTTTATATTTTCTTAAATCATTAAACCATTTTAATATATGTTAACTACTAATAAATGGTTTATTCTTTCTAACTCCATATAAGCTTTTCCAGCAAAGATTGTAATAACACATTTCTGTTCTCATTTTTCTACAGATATAAGTAAATTTATATTTAAAAATACCAAAAAGAAAATATATATCCGTATGTATACACACTAATGATTGAGGGCCCTTCGGGTGTCTGAGCCCAGCCATCTGAATTCTTAGTACTGTGTGGCCAGGCTGTTTCTGGGCCTCGGGTGTTGTCTTTCGTGCTGTGTGGGGATGCCATTGCTGCCTGTGCTTGTGGTCCTCTCACCGTGGGTTCTGAACATTCACCTCACCATGTTTACAGAGAACTGTTTTGTACATAGACTTTTTTAGGCACGTGCTTTGCACCAACCCTGCGTGGCTCTTGTCTGTGTTAGCTGTCACGGTGTGTGCACTAATCTCTGTTAAAGTTGTTTGTGGCTGTTTTACTTGTAAGATAGTTTTCTATTTCCTTCAGTAACGTGTCCACAGTATCCTGTATTTCGAGTTCTATTATACTGAAGTACTCTTGTTTTAATAGTGCCTCCCCAAAGACCTCACCTTGGACAGAGGTCAGTCCTTGATGCCCCAGCACAGGTGACATTGACATTGCTAATCGTTACTTTCCAGTCTGTTTTTCTCAATGAAGACATTTTGTAATTGCATCTCCATGGGCTGTGAGACTGTGTGAAGCTGTTGGTGTGGTGTCCTTGTAGGTGCTGTGTTCTCAGCACCGCCTTGCTCTGAACACTGGTGATTCCAGGTGCTGCGCTTGGCGGAGGGGTCTCGCCAAAGCGAATGTGTGTGCGTGTGTGAGTGTGCGTGTCCTTTGCATGGCCGGGCATGGCTGCCTTGCTCGGGCATCTGCAGGACACCGTGTGAATAGTTACAACGCTTCCAAACTGGAACTCTACATTTTGTATCTTACTTTTAAAGCTCCTATAAGTAAAATAACTATTGGCTTTATTAAAAATATACATTTAATAATATTTTGTATCTCTGTTTAAAATGAACTGCAGCAGATACCATGTCAGAAGCCCTGCCTGATTCATTACTTGGAAAAGCTGCACCCGAGTTGGTTTTTAGGTCAGCCTGTCCTGATTCTGAGGCCTTGCAAGGGGAGAGGCCCCAGGGGGTATCAGGATGAGCTGGGGTGGGTGGGCAGGAAGCCCTGCTGTGCCTCTCCTATTGGCTTCCCTAAGGCCAAAGCTGGAGAGGCCTCTGTGTGGGTGGAGCCAGTGTTGTGGTGAAGGAGGCCACCTGGAAGGATGCAAGCTCGCTCCTTGGGTCGTGGTCTGCCAGCACCCACGCTCCACCATCATGGGTGCTGTGAGCTGTCCAGCCAGCCTTTCCAAGGAGTGGACCCAGAGATGAGGTCTCCCTCCACTCTGCCAGGCACTCATTATGTGGCACAGAGACCCTATCTCACAGAGATAAGAGAGACTAGTCTCTGACATCATCCAGCTAAGCAGAAGGAAAGATTGTACAATGAGAGGCACAAAGGGAGAGTGGGTTACAGGGGAATTTCAACTCAATTTACAGCAAGACAGCACTTCATCAAAACTTTTTTTTTTTTTTTGAGGAATATTAGCCCTGAGCTATCTGCCACCAATCCTCTTTTTTGCTGAGGAAGACTGGCCCTGAGCTCACATCGGTGCCCATCATCGTCTACTTTATATGTGGGACGCCTGCCACAGCATCGCTTGACACGTGGTGTGTAGCTCTGCACCCAGGATCCCAACTGGCGAACACCGGGCCACTGAAGCAGAACATGTGAACTTAACCGCTGCGCCACCAGGCTGGCCCCTCAAAAATTTTTTTCATGATCTTAGGAGAAAAGGAGTGTGTGAGTGTTAATATATAACCTACCAGTGTAAGTACCACTCAGGCTTCTTTCTGCCGAGATACCCAGAAGCTGAGCGTGGGGACCAAGTCTCAGAGCCTTCTAAGTGCACCTCAGGACAAAGTTGCTTTGTAACAGCTATGTTGCATGAGTGTGCTAAGGAATACACTGGAAGTTCATACTAAAATGCTAGCCAGAAAAAACCAGTTTATTCAAGTGTGTTCCTATTTAACATGAGTACCTGTGCTGTTCACTGACTTCTGATCCACATTAGTGGTGGAGGCAGAAGAGGAGTCCCGTAGCCTTGGCTATGTGCTTGGTGGGGATGGAAGCAGAATATATGCTACACCTGAGCCCCACTGAGGCCTCAGCTCAACTGAGAAAAGGAGGACACGCAGGCAGGTGAGGTCTTTGTGAGGCTGGTGACCCTCCTTTCCCACCTGGGGGATCCTGAGAGAGTGGGGTGACCAGCTCTAGGAGTGAAATTGAAACGCCACATGCCAACCATGGCACTGTGAGGGGATGGCCCCCTATGTACTGTGCGGCCCCTGTTGTGATCTGCTGCGTGGTCTGGAGACAAAGAAGAAATAAACCCTTCCAATGGCCAGTTCCTCGACTGCCAAAAAGCCACACACGTGGAGAGCATGACTGGCCATATCTCAGCCATCTGTGCCCTGGAATCTGCGAAACCTCCATGGACAGGCTCCCGGAAGTAATACACATAGCTGGCCGTATGATTCCACATGGGCAGGCTGGCTGGGCCCAGGCCTCTGCCTGTGGTGAGGGGACTGGATGTGGGCCTGGGTGAGGAGGAAGGATTGTTTCAGGAATATCATGTTCATTTCAACATTTACTAATGTCACCGAGGGGCAAGGCCCTTGCTAGGAGCAGGGGTGCAAAGAAGATGCAGTCTCTGCCCTTAGGACTCAGCCTTTTAGGGGAGACAACCTCATCTTTCCCATTCTGTACCAGGTACCACCATCCACCCACCCAGTTGCTCAGGCAGAAATCCTGTAAGACACTCTTTTTTTTCTTTACTCTCCTCATTCAATTAGCAACTCTCCTAAGTATCTCCAAACACATTTAAGTTCCACTATCTTCTTCCATCACCACTGCCATCAACCTGGTCCTTACCTGGCTCCTTCCTCTCCCTCTCCCGCCTCAGGGAGACCCATACACCCCTGCCACCTCGATGTCGCCTAAGCCAACGTTCACCTGCCCGGTGCCCACCTGCCTATTGCTTTCAAGGTTATTCCCTGCTGGGGTCTCTCCATCGGTTCTCTTGGGCCAGAGCGCAGCCTCTACCCGGCTTTATTTTTCATTACAGCACTTAGCACTCCCCTAGAATCAAGCGTTTGCATTTGTCCCTCTCACTAGAACTAAAGTCTCAGGGGAGCAAGGAGCGTCTTCTGCGGCCACGAGTCCAGGGTACAGAACAGCGAGAAGCAACTCCAGATGAGCCTGACGAAACGAGGTGTTGCTGGGGCCAGAGGCAAATTCTAACACAAAGCAAGAAACAGAACTAGACTTCAAATCAGCTCTCACATCACACTGAGAATAACCCATGATGACCAGAGTTTGTACTCGAACTGCGAGGAGGGGCTGACATTAGGAGCTGCGGGTAGGACTGTGTAGCCCTTTAGTAAGTACAGACTTTTCTGTTCTCGTGGAAACCCACACCTATGTGCGGTGGGGAAATTTTTTTTAAAGCCCTAACAATGCATTCACAGGGAAAATCTGAGGGCGACTTCCCCAGCGACAGGACTCCACAGCGCAGGCGAACACTACGCCGCAAGACGAGCTCGGGCCTCCCGGGGGCGCTGGCACCGCCGCTCGCGTGCGTGCCTCCTCGCGTGCGCACGCGCACGCCCGCCCCCGTCCAGAGGATGCGCTCATGCGCGCACTCGTCCATCCCAGACGTGCTGACAGGGTCGTTTGCTAGCCCCCCCCACTCCGCAGCCCCGCTCCCGACCTGAGGCAGGGACATGCGCACACGCGTGCGCCCCGCCCATCCCGGACGTGCGAACCCACACGCGGATGCGTACGCACCGCCCCCTGCCGCATCACTACGTGCGCTTATCCCGCCTTCCCTGGGCCGAGTCGCTCGTTCACCGACCCCTCGGGAGGCGGGTGCAGCGGCTTGGGCTCCGCGGAGTTCCGGGAGTGCGCGGTTCCCTAGCCTTCCCCCGGTCGTAATGACTCAGCATCCCCGGTGCGTGCGCCTTCCGGAACAGCTCGCGACAATCCAGCGGCATGGGTCGCCGCGCACCCGACCTCCTGCGGCCTCCTTCAACTCGGACCCGAGAACTGCCGCCTCCGGCCTCCGTGAACCTCTCCCCGGGCTACTCCCTACGCCCTTATTGCGATGATCCCTTGGTTTCCAGTTTCTGCCCGACTCCTGTCCAGCGGCCCCGAATTAAGGCCTGGCTTATCTTAATGCCCATACCTCAGTTTCCCCATCTGTATAACAGGGCTTTTGTTTGGCAGTATGCCCGCCACAGACGCAGTAAGTGCTAGTTTCACAAATATTCAGTGGGAGCCAACTGGTTTTCCAAGGCTGCGCTAAGCTCTGAAATTAAATCCTTATCGAGAGTTAGGACTGTCCCTGGCCTTCCTAACTTGTCTGCGCTGTCAAGTCACCCCTGCAGTCCACTTCCCTCTCCCCGGCCAGAACGTCTTGCTGAGGGCGCTAGGTGCCTGGCCCTGGGGCAGGGATCTCTTCAACGTTCTGAGCCAAATTTTCTTTCCGTTGTGGTTAGTCAGCCTCTGGTCTGGGTGCACATGACCCCTCTGAGCTTCACTGCCCCCAGGATTCCCAACCTTATGCTCTGCAGACAGGGTGGGCACAACATATCGTGGCCATTGTGGTGATGGTGGTAGAAAACAGTAGGTTTAACTCTTGTCAGAATATAAGATTACCTTACCTTGATATTTTTCCAAATTACAGCTCCCACTCCACTCCCCAAGATTTGATTAGAGATGCCACCCTCACTCCAGTGACTGGTCACCCTCCCACACACTGCACCTTCCCCAGTGGGTCTCTCCCTGCTGCCCTACACGGATCCTTAGATCCGGTCCAAGGAGACCAGTGTTAATGCAATGGTTGGATTTTCCTCCCTCTCTTCTGTTAATGAAAATAATCTGTGACCAGTCTATAAATGAAAATTGGGCTGAGTTTATTATGAGCCAGATCTGAGGACTAGCTTAGCCTGGGGCCTTCCTTACCAAAGAAGTGGGGGTGTACAGAGTGCGTGTATCACATATGATTGAAATGTCCCTTTTACAATAGTCACGAGATTGCCCAGCACAGTGATTGATGGACACAGCAGGTAGTAGGTCTGCTGTCTTGGTGGACACAGCAGGGTAGACCGTCTGTGGTCACAGGGTGAGCACAGCAATCAATTCCTAGCCTAGGGAGAGATGCTTATCCTTAAGGAAATGCCAACATGGAGGAAGTTGCATTTTTATCTTAGGGCAATTTGTTCTTGTCTTTGGGACAGCAAATGCTGAAAGCAGATTTATAATGCATGCTCAACAGCCATGTCAGGCCCTTTTGGAAAAACAAGGTCAGGGCCAATTATGTTTATACCAAATGGCTTCCTCATATACTCCAATATATCCTATTGCTTACCATTTGTTTCTCACTGCCTTTGCCCACGCCACTGTCCTTTTTTTTTTCAAAGATTTTTTTTTTTTCCTTTTTCTCCCAAAGGCCCCCGGTACATAGTTGTGTATTTTTAGTTATGGGTCCTTCCAGTTGTGGCATGTGGGATGCCGCCTCAGCATGGCCTGATGAGTGGTTCCATGTCCACGCCCAGGATTCGAACCGGCAAAACCCTGGGCCGCCAAAGCAGAGCTCGCGAACTTAAGCACTCAGCCACAGGGCTGGCCCCAAAATTTACCATCTTAACCTTTTTTCTTTTTTTTGACGAAGATTAGCCCTGAGCTAACTACTACTGCCAGTCCTCCTCTTTTTGCTGAGGAAGCCTGGCCCTGAGCTAACATCCATGCCCATGTTCCTCTACTTTATACGTGGGACGCCTACCACAGCATGGCTTGCCAAGCGGTGCCATGTTTGCACCCAGGATCTGAACCGGCGAACCTTGGGCCCCAGAAGTGGAACATGCGAACTTATCTGCCGCGCCACCAGGATGGCCCTGTCCTTTCTGTTTGAGATGCCATTGTTGGCCATTTCCACTTGTAAAATTCTGCCCCGTCAGAATTAATATCACAGAGGCCTAATCGATATCAAACAACTGAGAAGATGGGGAAGAGCCAGGAAGTGGCAGGCAGCTCAGGGTTGTGATTAAAATAGGGCTCGGGAATCAGGCAACCTTGAGTTGGTTCTGTACTTAGTAGCAGAGTGGCAATTTTCAGATGTCTTAACCTGTCTGTTAAATGGGGAGGACAAGATCTCCCTCTGAGGGCTGCTGTGAGGGTTACCTGGGAGATAATTTAGCAGAGAGTAAACTGGCCGGAGTACTGCCCATGTTAGTAGTTCAATGATGAATGGCTTTCAATTAACAATGATCTTTCTTTGTTCTACTATTTTTTGCGTTTTCTCTCTTTAACTTCTGTGGCTTGTGGCCCTCCAGATAGAAACCTAGTTTTCTGCTAATATAGACAGTCCAGGTAACTTTGGTATTTCTAAGTACAATGTTAAAATATTAGGGGGAAATCTGGAATAGTTTGAAGTTGCTGGGAATCACAGAGGCCAAACAGCTGGAGGTGAACATTACAGAATGTCAAAAAGAAGATGAAACCTTCAAAAGGGCAGTCATCAGAGGCCTCACCTCCTGCCTCTTCTTCAGTACCCTGAGTTGCTCCTATGGGTTTTGAGTGGATGGGAGAGGACATTGGAGAAGACAGGGTGGCAGTGGGCAGGTGAACACCCATAAAATCTTGGAAAAGACTTGGAGCTGTAAATGACAGCTCAGCTCAAAACAACATCAACCCTAAGAGAAATCACTGATTGGTGTTGCAGCTGCAGACAGAGGTGGCCTGGCCCCAGGAACTTGGGCCCTGTGATGTCCACTCTGGCATCTCTCTGGGGGTCCTTATCTCCATTATTTTCCTTAAGACCAGGGAGTGAGGGGCTGGCCCGGTGGCGCAGTGGTTAAGTTCGCACGTTCCACTTCTCGGCGGCCCGGGGTTCACCGGTTCGGATCCCGGGTGCGGACAGGGCACCGCTTGGCAAAAGCCATGCTGTGGTAGGTGTCCCATATATAAAGTAGAGGAAGATGGGCATGGATGTTAGCTCAGGGCCAGTCTTCCTCAGCGAAAAGAGGAGGATTGGCAGCAGTTAGCTCAGGGCTAATCTTCCTAAAAAAACAAAAACAAAAAACAAAAACAAAAAGACCAGGGACTGAACCTCAGGTCTGTCCTTTTAGAAAGGCCGCTTAACACTACAAAAAGCTGGGAGTTTCTCCTGCTGGTGCCCAGGTCACAGAAAAGGACCCTGATGGTGTGCTTATCTCTGATACAATCATGGAGGCAGAGGAAGAAACATAAGAGTGGGAGGTAGTGGTTTGGGACAAAGACAACAGATGTCCATCATGGTCACCAAAAAGAGCCTAATGAGAAAGGGGACTCTGGTTACTGTTGAGCTAGAGTTGGCTGAGGAATCACATGGCCAGTGGATGATGAGGCAATGGCTACTGAGACTGTCCTTCCTATTAGATGAGGTTCTGTTCAGAAGGCAAGATTTAGGGCTGGGGTGCTGTTCTGTGCACACAAGTAACTGGCTTGGATGGGAAACTGGCTGGTGTGTTTCTCAGGAACCCCAGTGGAACAGATGCCATTCAGCACTATCAGGGTTGTGCTGCTTATGGGAAGCTCAATTAAATCTCATAGTTGACAGTTGACCCCAAACTCCTCTAGGTAAATAAGGGCCATGTGGACAGGGCTGTTCCCTGCAAAGTCCTGTGACCACTCGTTTCTTCTGTCTTCAGCCCCTCCCTATGTTTCTTCTTCATCTCTCCCTGGGCAGGGAAAGAAAAGCCGTTTGTGGAGGCCGGAGGTGGCAGCGACTGCATGGAGCTGAGAGATGGGCCGGAAGAAGCCCTGGGCCTGGAACTCCAGCAGGACAGGGCGCACTCCCTGGATGGCTGGCCTCTCTGGGGGACCCAGACGACGGAGAAGCTCAATTTGGGTGCCCAGTTCTTCAGCCTCTTCTCCTATCTTCACTCCCTCTCATCCAGACTCTCATCTAGAGATCCTATCAAATGCTGTCTATTCACTGATGACTCCCAAGTTTTCCCTCCAGCTCGAACCTTTTCTCCCCTGTTCTCCAGACATGAAGACCCAACTCAACACCTCCACTTAGATGTCTAATAGCTTTTGAAAACTTAACATGTCCAAAAAAGAGATCATGATCACCCCTCCAAAATCTGCATCTCTCCAAGATGCAATGACAATTCCATTTTTCCAGGAGCTCAGGTGGAAGACTGGATGTCACCCTTGACTGTTCTCTCTCTCTCACCAGGAAATTGTCAATTCTTCAAAGTTCTCACAATGACTTACCTTTGTGATCTCGTTGCCTGCCTTCCCTCGCTGACCCCATGTGCTGTCCCTGTTCCCTCACTCACTCCACTCCAGCCACACGTGCCTCCTTCTTCTTCTGAAACATCTCAGCATGCCCCATTTTGCAGTTGCTTTTTCTGGTGCCTGTGCACTTTTCCCCAGATGTCAAGTTGGCATGCTTCCTCACCTTTTCCAGGCTTTTGCTTACATGTTGCCTCATTAGTGAGATTTCCCTTGACCGGTCTATTCAAAATTGCAACTCCTATTCCAAGCACTCTCTCCAGCCTCTCTTTTCTCAATAGCACTTACTAGCGTCTGACATACCATATACTTTACTTATGTGTCACTTCTGTACCCGCAGCACCTGGACCGCTACTTGTAACATAGAAGATGCTGGAAGGGGTTGTGTTAAATGAATGAACGAATGAACAAATGAAGCAGTCCGGGGCATGGGGAGCTCGGCCTTTGTCCTTTAGTCACTTCCAGGCAGAGGCTGGCAGTGTGGCAGCGCGAAGGGCCGGCCTGTTGCAGGGAGGGAGGAGCAGCCCCGGAGCCCGGGCAGCTGGCAAGGTCGCGCCGCGGGCGTGGCCGGCGGGGCGGGGCCGGGCGCCTGCGCCATAAAAGCCGCCGCGCGGGGCGGCCGCCTGCTCGCTGCGCGCCGTCTGCTCCTTCCTCTTTTTCTCCGCGCACGTCCGGATCCGTGTCCCCAGCCGCTCCTGCCATGGCCGCGTTCACCCAGAACCCGCAGTTCCAGAAGCTGCGGGAGTGGCATCGCGAGCACGGCGCTGAGCTCAACTTGCGCCGCCTTTTCGAAGGGGACAAGGAGCGCTTCAGCCGCTTCAGGTGCGCGCGGGTCCGGAGCGGGCGCGGACATGGGGGCCGCCGCGCACGGGGGCAGGTGTGCAGGGCCAGGGCCGGAGGCTGGGGCGGCGGGCCCCGGCGACCCCGGTCACGGATCGGGGCCCTGGCCCAGGCCCAGGCCGCACTTCGTCCTTGACGCCTCCTTGAAGCAGGTTCCCGGGTTGCTTAGTCGTGAGAAGTGGGCCTCCCTGTCCCCACCCCCCCATTCCCCTCTGAGGGGCTCTCGCCCTCCGCCCATCCCCCCGCGCCCCAGCCTCCGCCATCGAGAAGGGAGTCCTTACGCAGCGGTGAGCGGGGCCTCCTTGACGCAGCGGGAGAGGAAGGACTGAGCCCTGCCATGCGCTCCTGGCCGAGAGCGCTCGGGACCCGGCGCCGTCTGCGGGGTGCGGTCAGGGTGGGGCAGGCCCGGGGGATGTGCGGGGAGCCGCGGTGGAAGGGTGGAGATGTGGGGGCATGATACCTGCCGAAGGGGCTAGGCCCGGGGACCTATGAAGGACCAGGAAATGGAAAGGAGTCTATAGGGGGAAATCTTGGGGGCGGGAATGGGGTCGAGCGTGCTCTGGTCACTGGCGCAGGTGTGTTGGGGAGGGGTGGTCCGTGGCCCCGAAATGGAAGTCTGCATTGGCCAGTCCTGTCATCTGGGTCCTTCCCTGAGGACGTTGGGTTGCCGAGTGGAAGCTCGGGGAGGGGGTGGTCACTCCCTGGGCTAGGCAGGGGCAGCTGCACCCAGCTGTCTGTCTTCCCATCCCGCAGCTCAGCGTAGGCAGAGGAAGGGCTCCTCACCCAGCATCTGCCCCTTTCACTGTGCTGCTGCAGGTCAGCTTGGTGGGCGGGCAGGTAACCCAATACCACCACTGCACTGGGCAGCTGAGGGCCTTTTGGGGTGTGGCGTAGGGCGGATGTTTTTTCAGGAAGCAGCTTGGGTCAAGGAGCAGGCTGGGGAGCCCTCAGGTGTGGTCAGTGGCTTCTGCCATCTTTCTACAGCTTGACCCTCAACACCAACCATGGACACATTCTGGTGGATTACTCCAAGAACCTTGTGACAGAGAGTGTGATGCAGATGCTGGTGGACCTGGTAATGTTCTGCTGTGGGAGGCTTGACCTGTGACCCACAGTGGGGCGGGCGAGCTGGGCTCCTGGGAGCCCCCAGGTCCTTGAGTATCTTTACTTCTTTCTCTCAATGGAACTCAGTCACTACCTCTGTGCCGATGCAGGGCTTTAAGCTCCTGCCCCTGGCTCAGATTCTGAGCAGCCTCCCAGGGGACCCCAGTGCCTGATGTCTGAGCAGACCCTTCCCAGGCAGTGGGTACGGGTGCCTGGCTGCAGCCATCTGTCAGCCCCACTGGGGGCTGCACCAGCTCTTGTGCTTGCGGGGCTTGGACTCTTGGTGGCCAACATGAGTGAGACCAAGCCTCAGTGTCTTCTCTTCCCAGGCCAAGTCCAGGGGCGTGGAGGCCGCTCGGGAGCGCATGTTCAGTGGTGAGAAGATCAACTTCACCGAGGTGAGCACACCGGTGGCCACCAGACTCTGCATACCCTCCAGGGCCTCTTCCTTCCCTTGGGGGTTCAGCTGACTGTTAGCAGCATCACCCTGTGTCCTCACTCCTCCTCTTAAGCAATGCTTTTGCTTAATGCGAGGCCCGAAGTCCTGTCTCCTTGAGTGGCCTGCAGGGCCTTGGGGTGTGTCTTCCCCAAGGCTGGCAGTCTGGATCTGGTGAGTGTGGAGTGGGACTGGGTGTCTGCCGAGGGACAGCACACCTCAAGCCTGCAGGGCGAGGGCGTCTCAGGCATGCTCAGAGACCATAACTGTCATCTATCCTTGCAAGCTTTGTTGGTGAAAAGAAGAATCTTATGTCAAAAGGTCGACCTCAGAAGGCCAGGCCTGGGGGGCCCTGTCCCTGCATGGTGTGGAAGCCTGGAGGCACAGTAATTGGAGCACTCAGTCTCCTTTTCATCCTATTATCATCCTCCTTTTACATATGAGGATAAGACAAGGCTCAGAGGTCAAGTCACTTATCCAAGATGTCGTATCTGTAAGGGACAGAGCCAGGATTCAAACTCGACCTGTCTCTTGCTGCTGGGCCAGGCTGAGGGAGGCTGCACTCAAGGAGGGCTTCCTGGAGGAGTGCATTTGCCTGTGCGGTGTGGGACAGGAGTGGAGTTGGGCAGGGCGAGGGCACAGTGGCATGAAGCCGGCGCCTTAGTGAGCCTCTCCTGGGGTTGGAGTCCTCAGACCATCCCTTTCCTGCCCAGCTGGGGTCTTTAGACCTGTTTCCTGCAAGGACTCCTGCTGGCTTCAGCTTGATGGGACTGCTGCTCTCACATGACCAGACCAGCTGTTGAGCCCCATCGCAGACTTAGCGTCCGGTTTGGTTGGTTGGTTTCAGGCAGCTGGTGTCATGGGGCTGCTTGGTGAGGGAAGCTCCGGGTGCCTGCTTTGCTCCACATCCGAGGGGCTGGGGGCACTTTCCAAAAGGTGCCGGCCAACACCGTGTGCTCTCCTTGGGGAGAGCAGATTAGGCCTAATGAGCCCTGGTCCTCTGAAGCCAGTTGTTGCTTGTCTCTGACCTGTTGTCACCACTCTCCGTCTTTGCTCACTCTGTCCCTCTTTCCTTGACTTGTCAGTTCTGAACACCTCTGGGCCCTTGGGGCCATCTTAGGCTTGTTCCGGGCTCCCCTTGTGGCTGTCTGCAGTACATGAGGGTGCGACACGTGCCCTGTCTCCACTCCCGCCCTGGGTCCTAGGGTGGCCCCTCCTCCCATCAGCACATGGTGGGTTCTCCGTCCCAGAGCACAGTACCAACAGAGACCTCAGGGCCCGCATGTCCCGTGGATAGAGGGTGGAGCTGAGGCTCGGAGCCACACTGCACCGTGCCCAGCGGGGAGCCTGGCTGCCCTGGGGTGGGGGTCTTCACACCCTGACTCTCGTCCCCAGAATCGGGCAGTGCTGCACGTGGCTCTGCGGAACCGGTCAAACACACCCATTCTGGTGGATGGCAAGGATGTGATGCCAGAGGTCAACAAGGTCCTGGAGAAGATGAAGTCGTTCTGCCAGGTAAGCAGCTGCTGGGCTGGACTTGCCCTTGGCCCTGTGTGTGCATTTGGGGATCTGGAAGCCCTCATGGGGCTGCCCCTTCACTCTTCTTGGAGAGGACTCCAGCCCTCACTGCAGCCTGAGGTGAGGGAGGCCTGTGGTTGCTGGCCCTGGGGGCTCTGCTGAGGCGCCAGTTTCCCTGACCGTCTCCCAAAGGAACCTGCTTCCTGAACTGTCCACACCTGTGGGCTCCTGGTGATGGTCTGGCCAGGGCAGATGATCTGAAAAGAAAAGCGAGGCCCCTGATGGGTGGGATTGTGGGCGAGAGACTTGCTGTCGCTAACCTCCTTAGTCACGTGCCCTTATTGCCTAATCTAGAACCAGATAAAATAGAGGTTGTAAAATTTCCTTGACCACACGCCAGGCAACTCTCCAGAGGCAGCCTTTGTGGTGTTTCCTGTGAGATCTTCCAAAAGCCTCCTACGCGTGTGTTCGTGTACGTATACAATTGTCATCTCCTCTCTGAAGTACATGCACACGTGCGTACACACGCAGGTTCATTTTCACCACTCTGCTGCAGCTTATCTGGACTTATAAATATGTAAGAGTGCCCCTGTGTTGGCATCAGTGTGCACGACTGTGCCTCCTTTTCCTGTGGGGGGCGTAGGGCTCACCTCAGAAACCAGCTAGAGATTTCCCCACATCAACCACTGTTGCCTTAGTGTCTGCCCTGGGGTGCTTCTTCGAGGGTCGGTGGACGTTTTCAAGCCTGGAATACAAGGTGATGACTGGGGTGTGTGCACGTCTATATGTGTGGGTTATGTGTGCTTTGGGAGTGACAACCTGGGCTCTGGTGAGCTTGTCCCTGAGAGCAGTGGCCCCCACGTGTGGCTGGTCAAAGTCTGGTTGCCTTGGCTAAGAGCCGTTTTCAGATCTGAAACAGCAGGAGGTGATCTGGGCATCAATCCCAGAGGCCTGGCAGCCGAGTGAGCGGGACTTCCCGGGGTGAGAAAGACTTGGGATCCTGATGGGAATCTGGATTCCACAGTGCCCCTCAACAGTGGTTGGTACGTGTGGTGGGCCTTGGGTTTGGGGAAGGGCGTTTCCAGCCACCTGCTGTGAGTGGCAGAGCTGCCGTGCCTTGGAAGCCTGGTGTTCTGTTTGATCAACCCTGTGTGCTCCAGCTTGCCATGTGGAGAGCGTGGCACTGGCTGTCTGGGGAGCTGTCTCCAGCAGAGCCCTCCCTTACAGCTGGCTGCTCGAGTACCTGACTCAGACTGATGGGGTATTTATAGTTCAAATAAGCTGCTGAATGGCAGCAATTCCATGTTGAGGAACACTCCTCAGGGCTGTGCTCTCTAAAGTTCACCAAGGTTGGGTAAGGATGTTCACCGTGACCTTAGTTGTAGCGGCAAAAACTGAAAACAACCTGAGCTCATTTACAAGAGGGGACCGATTAGTAAAATCAGTGTGTATTCATATACTGTAGAAATGAGCACCATTAGGAATTGGGGAGCTATGGTTGTGTTGACCTGCCATGTTGTTCAGAATATAGTATGAAGTTAAAAAAGAAAGTTACAGAATTGGTTTGTGTCATAAAACCCCATCTGGTCAAATAAAGGTTGTATGTAGTTATATTATAGATGTAGAGGGGCTGGCCCCATGGCCGAGTGGTTGGGTTTGCACGCTTGGCTTCGGCAGCCCAGGGTTTCACCAGTTTGGATCTTGGACACAGAGATGGCACCACTCATCAGGCCGTGCTGAGGCGGCGTCCCACGTAGCACAACCAGAAGGATCCACAACTAGAATATACAGTTATGTCCTGGGGGGCTTTGGGGAGAAGAAGAAGAAGGGAAAAAAAAAAACGAAGGTTGGCAACAGATGTTAGCTCAGGTGCCAATCTTTAGGAATGAATAAAGAAAGAAAGAAAGAAAGAAAAAGAAAAAGATACAGAGCCAGTCTGCCCTCTGGCTCCCAGTGATTCATATGTTCCTTCCAGATGCAGAATACCCCACTCACCTTCTCTCAAGGCCATATCCCATTACAATATCAGCTAGAAGTCAAGAACCTCATTGTCTGAATTAGGTACAGATATTGTAGTACCTGCATTTCCTCTAATGCAACTCAAATACAGTTCCTTTTGATATGAGAATGTGTGAATTTAAAAGACACGTTAGTTATCCTCACACGCCAAACATGCAACAGTGAGATAGGCATAGGATAAACTGATATAGAATGATTACTTTTCAGAAAGAAGGGGAAAATGGGAGGCTCACAGGAGTCACTCATCCAAAGCAGTTCTGAAATCCAGCAGGACACATGTTGGCAGTTGGTTGGTTAGCACTCAAGGCCTGAGATCATTCCTTAGGGCTTTTGGCTTTGCCTTCATTCATCCTTTTTTATATGAAAGATAGTCTGTGTTTGTAACTGCCTAGTGTTCTCAGCCTGCTTACTGCTTGTAGAAATGTGGGTATCTGAAGGCTTCTTTTCCTTTCGTACTATCTCTGTCCCTTTGAATTAAAGCTAGTGGTGTTGCTGACAATTCAGTTATATTAAAAGCGTTTTGGGTCTCCTGTGAATCTTTCAGGGAGAGATTTACTCCAATAGACTCACAAATTTCTTTAAGATAAGTCCTTTTGTACAATTGCTTCTGAGACCACAGAGACAATACCCTCAGCTTCTTAGAAGCCTCATCTTTGACCATAAAGTTCTCTGTTACTACCTTACCTCTTTCTGAGGTCTTAACACAGGGTTTTACAGCTACACACTCGGCTTCATCTTTATACTATGCTTTTGTGACAGTGCCCTGGGTTTGATCTTTGCCAAGGAGCCATCTCTTAATTCTAGCATCAGGTGTTGCCTGAAGAGGCTGGGAATTTTCAAACTCAATTTCTGGCTGCTTTTTTAAAGATTGGCACCTGAGCTAACAACTGTTGCCAATCTTCTTTTTTTTTTCTGCTTTTTCTCCCCAAATCCCCCCAGTACATAGTTGTATATTTTAGTTGTGGGTGCTTCTAGTTGTGGCATGTGGGATGCTGCCTCAGCATGGCCTGATGAGCGGTGCCATGTCTGCGCCCAGGATCCGAACCAGCGAAACCCTGGACCGCCACAGTGGAGTGCGCGAACTTTAGCACTCGGCCACGGGGCCAGCCCTCTGGCTTCTTTTTGTTGAAAAGTTCTTCCTTTAGCTTCTTTCCGTGCATTTTATTGTCAGCACCAAGAAACCAGGCAGTTCCTTTACCATGGCCTGAAAACCTCTGTAGTTAGATCATCCAGCTCATAGAAAGCTTTTGCTTTCCCCCTGAATGCAGGCAACAATTAAACATGCTGTCACTACATAACAAGGCTTCTTTCCTCCAATTTCCAATCATGTTTTCCTCCCTTTTCTTTAAATCCACACCAGCAGCCCCCTCAAGGGTGTCAACCTTCCGCTAACAATCTCTTCCAGTGTTTATTTAGGCCTTCATTAACGCTCTCCTCCAAGTTCTTTTAGCTCTTGCCCCATTTTTAGGTTTTTGTTCTGGCAACACCCTACTTCTGGTGCCAGAATCTTCATTGGTCATTGTTATATAACAAGTTACATCCCGACTTGGCTTAAAACAGTGGTAAACATACTATCTCACACGGTTTCTGTGGGTCAGAAGTTCAGGAGTGGCGTAACTGGCTGGTCTTGGTTTGGGGGTCTCTCCTGAGGGTGTAGGCAAGATGTTGACTGGGGCTGCGGTTATGTGAAGGTTTGGCGGGTTCTAGAGCACCCCCTTCAAAGGCAGTTCCCGTTCGTGGATGGTGAGTTGGCACTGGCTGCTGGAGGAGGCCTCAGTTTCTCGCCACATGAGCTTCTTCATGGGACCGTTTGAGTGTCCTCACAGCATAGTAGGTGGCTTCCCCAAAAGTGAGCAATACAAGAGAACGAGGCAGAAGCTGCAAGGGCTTTTGTGACCCAGCTTCTGAAGTCGCGCTCTGTCATTTTTGCAGTATCCTAACGGGTGCGCAGGTCAGCCCTGTTTAGCATGGGGGGAACTACACAGGGGTGTGAATACTAGGAGGCAGGATCACTGGGGTCCACGTGGAGGTTGGCTGCTTGTCTGATATTCCTGTCCCGGCACAGACCACTCACCATCGTGGACATTTTGCATCTCTTGGTCTCTGACATGTTAGGGTCTGCTGAGAGTTCCCCCTTGGTTTGCACATCCTGACAACGTTACTGTAAGGTGGGGATGTGCCCCTGCTTTGCTAACGATGAAATAGGTCTAGTGTCTGAGGTGAGTGTGGTAGGGATCTGCCACAGTGGTCTCAATAGGACCCTGTGAGGGCCTGGAAGTTGGGATGGAGGCGTAAGGATGCGAAAGTAATGGTTTTTGAGCATCAGCTTATACTGGGGTGTTTGGACTGATTACGTCTCTCCACTCTGCCAGCAAGTCCGAAACGGCGACTGGAAGGGGTACACGGGCAAGCCCATCACGGACGTCATCAACATTGGCATCGGCGGCTCTGATCTGGTGAGGAGAGAACTCCCTTGGGGTGGGGTGAGGGGTCCCATCCAGGGCCTTGATTTCTCCAGCGAAGGGTCATGGCTGTCCCCACCTCTTGTGGGCCCTGGAGTCTTGTTTTCCGATGACGCGTCTCCCCACAGGGACCTCTCATGGTGACTGAAGCCCTCAAGCCATACTCTTCAGGAGGTCCCCGGGTCTGGTTTGTCTCTAACATCGATGGGACCCACATTGCCAAAACCCTGGCCTCGCTGAACCCTGAGTCCTGCCTCTTCATCATCGCCTCCAAGGTATGGGCCTTACCCCGGCCTGGCTCCCAGCCCACTGCGGGTTGCGGGGGCAGGGGGCAGGGCAGGTGGCTGTTTGCCCCGCCCCGGTTATTGCATCCTTGCGACTGCTTCTGCTGAGGTGCTTTGGGGGTTGAGTCAGCGCAGCTGCCCTCAGGCTCTTCCTTGTCTGGCGGCAAACGCAGCTTACCTGAGGAAAGCCCACACTTGTCGGTTGGACTTGGTCTTCGGGTCACACCCACTTCCTTTGTGGGATCTGCGCTCAGCCTGGGATTGTTCTCGTCTTTCTTTGAGTTCTGTCCCTAATCTCCTTTCTGATCCCAGAGCATCCCCAGATAATATAAGGGTTTCGTTTGTTGTCTTTTATGCCCTATTTACCCACATTAATGTATGTAAAATATTAAGAATTCCATCTGAATTCAGAGCTACAGCCTAGCCTGGGCTGAAAGGAGCCCCAGCTGTGACTCCAGCCCCTTCCTGGAAGATGCTCCAGCCTTTGACCTGTGTGGGGTTCAGGGGGGTATGTGGCTTTTATGAGGGTTCACCGAGCTCTGGTTGTGACATCCTGGAAGCACAGGCCCCTGCCCCAGGCGCAGCCACTCATCATGGCTTTGTGGACGCGTGGGTGGAGGTTGTCTGGAGTAACTGTCACTGACCCACATGCCCTGCTCCTTGTGACACCTGGGCACCCATCTGGCCTCTACTGCTGAGCCCTGGCTCGAGGCCGCACTGACCTTGAGCTGGGACCAACTGCTGTACTCTGTGGCTACAGACGTTCACCACCCAGGAGACCATCACGAACGCGGAGACGGCAAAGGAGTGGTTGCTTCTGTCGGCCAAGGATGTGAGTGCTGGGATGAGCGAGGGGCAGTGCATGGGCGGGGGCATGGGGTGGACCTGCCCATCCACCTGAGCGGCCAAGCCTTGCCCTAGAGCCCTGTTTCTCCCAAACTTGGCAGCCTCTCTGGTACCTGCCTTTTCTGATTCAGATATTTGGCTTGGCCAGCTCCAGACACGCGGACACAGCAGAGCCTGCTCTAACTGGCTGACGGCCCTTTCTTGAGGCTCCTTGGCCCTGCAGGATCCTCTCCACCCTTGGCCACACCCATTTTACAGGGAAGGAAGCCTGGGCCTTGTGTGCCTGTGAGCTAGGATGAGCTGGCCAGCCTCCGACCCCTCTGTCCCTTTGACCTTGTTATGGGGCTCCTCCAAAAGCCTCAGAACCAAGGACTGGGAACAGTCAGTCCCACCAGGGCCTTGGTTTCTCCAGAGATGGGAGGGTCACTGGCCTTGGGTGGCCCCCACTATGGGTTTGATGTAACTTGACTCCATCTCTCGTAGCCTTCTGCAGTTGCGAAGCACTTTGTTGCCCTGTCCACCAACACAGTAAGTGCCCACGTGGGCTCCCAGACTACCTCCCTAGAGGCCCAGGCCTTGTCAAGGTCGTGGTCCTTCAGAATACACGAGCCGAGAGGTGGTTCACTGGTTCGGGGATCTTGGCTCTGCTGATGGGATAGAAGGGTTGGTTGCCCGTGAGAGATGGGAGCTGTCCTTGTCTTTCTACATCCTCCCATCAAATCTCTGCAGCTCCGATGAGAGGCTTGCAGTGAGTGGAATCATGTTGATGCCATCCATCTCCAGAACACTTCTTACACATGACCTCCCTTGGCCTCTACCACTGGCCTCTCTCCAAATGGGATATGCTGGTAGGGGTGGGGGACGCATCCTATTTCTCACAGAAGGATGTTAAGCCCCAGTGCAGGAGTGTGCCTTTCTGCCCAGTGATTGCCAGGATTGAGAATCAGTGATGCCACGATGAGAACGCAGGTCGCCTGCCTGCCAGTTCTCGTAGTCTGTCTGGTCCCAGGTGGTGCAGGGTTGCGGGGGGAGGGGTTGCTGTGCTCCAGGAATAAGTGGCACACCTTGTGAGAACTTGCTCTCTGGTAGGCTTTGTGCTGGGCTGTGTGAGAGCTGGAAGCACACACAGGTCTTCCGGACCACCCCTCCCACCCCTGCCTCCAGTGCTGACCCCCCCGTCGGGGGAGACAGGAGGCCATGTTAAGGCTGGAGCACCACAGCACTGCTGCCCCCCTGCAGGCAGAGCTCGGACTGGTGCCTCCTCTTGTGGGGACTAGGTAAGGGGTTGCTGACCCTGTCTGCCTGGGGACAGATCACCTGAGGAATGATTGGTCATCTCCTGAAGGCCTCCTGGGGCAGAATCACCCTGCCAGATATTGGAAGGGCTGGGCCAGCGTCTGGGCTGGGTGCCACCTGGCCTGGGAGGTGGCCGCTGCCCATGCTCGGGTTCTAGGCTAGGCTCGGGTTCTGAATGTCCTGGGGCCGGGTTTCTGGTATCCCGACAGGCCCACGAAGTAGCTCCTGCAGAGCAGTGTGGGCCTGCTCCTCCCTGGGCGTGCAGTCCCCTTGGCAGCAGGGCTTCACAGGTGCCAGGCCACTGGTGTGCTGGGTGTTGGCCTGGTGTCCCCCTCTGGGGGTGGGCAGCTTCTGGTCCCCACCCTGGACTCACACCGCTCCAGCCCTGCCCTATCAGGCTCTGTGGAAGGTGGGAGTGCTCCCGCGGCTCGGATGGCCCCGTCCCTCACACCCTGGAGCTTCTGTTCTTGTCCAGCTAACACAGCCTTCCTTCCTTCTCTCCCTTTGCCCTTTTTAGACCAAGGTGAAGGAGTTCGGAATCGACCCTAAAAACATGTTTGAATTCTGGGATGTAAGTAAAGGCACTGCCTTGTGCTGGGTGAATGATGTGTCCTTTGCCACGCCATGACTGTTGAGCCACAGAGGAGGGGCCCGTGAAGTCAGGTCAACATTTATTGAGCACCTACTGCATGCCTGGCTTTGGGAAAGGCCAAGAGACCCCCGGAGGGGCTTGTGGGGCAGGAGCAGCCTGGTCAGGACCAGGGTTCCACTTCCCCCAGGGGCAGGCTGAGCTTGCAGGGCCAGATGACACTCCCCTCGGTGCCTGCCAGCAGCACCCACTGTGGGGTAACCGGAGCCACCCCGACCCCCCTCAAGAGGCTGAGGTTGTGAGTTATTCTCAGTGATGACCTTTCCCCGAACTGCAGCCGCAGTCTGAAAAGGCCAAGGGGCAGGGTGAGGCAGAAGGTGAGCCTGGGCAGGCCTGGCAAGGAGCCGCAGGAGCAGCTGGAGGGTGGCAGAGAGGAGGCGCCAGGCCTGGGGCCTGGGGGCCCTTGCCGGGCAGCTTGCAGAGCAAACCTTGCCTGAGTGGCAGAGCTGCAGGCCCCTCTAGCGACAGGTGGTCACATGGGCTCATCTCTGCTAGAGCCACCGCTGGTGCTGAGCAGTGAGCAGGCGCTTTCCTTGCAGCTTGCCTGATGCAGCGGGGGTGTGAGAATCTGGCTGTCGATTGCAGGGGAGACTTGGGGGGGCGGGGGCGCAGTGCAGGGTTGGTGTGGGTGTTCTGAATGCAGTGGGCGTGGCTCTAACATGCGACCGCGGCAGGCACAGCAAAGAGGGCATTGTCCAATCAAGGCTTTCCCCATTGGGGCTGTTTCGAGGCCTTTAGACAGGAAGCTCTTGGCTTGGTGGCAGCACCACAGATGAAACCTCCTTTGAACGCTCTGAAGGCCTTGGAGTATGGAAGAGAATGAAAGCCAAACCCCCTAAGGCATCTATTGTGTGTAATGAGTTAACTTCTTTCTAGAATGGGACTAGTTATGTGCCATCCTTGGAAGAATTGAGAAGAGTCACTCAAATCACTTTCTGCGTCCTGTGGCTCAGATGAGGAACCGCGGTCGAGCGAGACTGTGCAGCTTCTAACAAATGTTGCATGCCTGATAAAGGAGGGGAGGCACCTTCCACCTCCTTCCTGGGATCTGGAGCCTGAGCAGATGGTGGTCAGAGACGTGTGGGTGCTCCTGCTGGTCAGGGAGCCTCACCGAGCAGGGCTGTGTCCCAGTCTGGGTTTTCATTGCCCGTAACCAGCCGGCATGCAGAGATGAGTTGGGGTGTGGCTTAGGGAGAGGCCTGGGTCTCCCAGGTAAGGCCTGGGAATGACACCTGGGCACGAGAACGTGGGGCCTGGGCTGAGTGAGGCCTGAGAGGCCAGGGTGGGCACAGGGGAAGCCTCATGGGCCTAGCCAGATGTACCCACACACAGCAGCTGGAGGAGGGACCTGCCTGGGTCAGTAAGGTATGTATTGCTGAATCGAGAAGGTGACATCTGAGGAGCCAGGGAGACAGAGACAGGGGAGGTTTCTGGAGCTAAGGTCTGTCAGATGAGATAGAGGAGTGAGGACAGACATAGGGATATTGCACTGGCTCTGAGGTAAGACCGGAAGAGTCCAGTCTGGCAGAGGTACGTATACGTGGTGAGGCCCGGTCTGTTGGGGTCGGTCATGGGCAGCCTTGTGTGTCGGGATCAGGCAGAGCTGTGGTGGTAAGGGGTGAGATCTCTCAGGGCTCAACCAGCGTCAGCACATATTGGGGAACTAATTTTGGCTGGTGAGGTCTGAAGAGGAGCCAGGACAGGTAAAAGTACAGGTGAGGTCTGTGAATTCTGGAGGAGACGCAGGTATTTAGAGATGGTTCTCTAAGTGAAGCCTGAGGAGCAGGAGTCACATACGGGTACTTAAACCTGGATCTGTGAGTTGAGGTTTGGTTCCATGGCGTGTGACAGGTGTACACATTGGGGTCTCTGACTGGTTCTGAGAAGTGAGTGCCAGGTAGTGGGTGGCTGATCACTCAATTGAGGTGATTAGAACTCAGGATTAGGCAAACGTGTCAGTGCCCTGGGCCAGTTCGGCCACCTGGTTCTCAGCATCCTGACCCAGTGTGATGGGCGGAGCTCTGGGTGTTGGCGAGTCCTCTTAGCATCCATAACCAGCCCAAGGTGTGGTCTGTGGCGTTGGGGTCTGGCTGGGGTGGAGTTTGAGGCGCCTGGGTGAGGGAGAGGTGGGAATGCACCTAGAATAAAAGAGGAGGCCTGGGGAGCCGGGGCAGGTGAACAGACTGAGCAGCTGTGTCAGTGAAGTGCGGCCTGAGAGGCTCCTGGTAGATAAACGTCTAGACCCGTGTCTGCAGGGGCGAGATGCCCGAGGCGCAAGTTGCTCAGACACTGTTTGGCACCAGTGGGCTCTCGCCAGGCTTCCCTCACACTGGGGTGAGCAGCTCGAAGTCTGTCAGGTTGAGGGAAGTGTCTGTTCAGCTGAGTTTTCTATGCTGGAGTCTGCCGGGGATGGTCTCTAGAGCGACGTCTGCCTGAGGCCTCAGAAGCTGGAATGAGGTAAGGTGTGGATAAGTAGGTTTCTTAGGGGAGGCCTGAGGAGCCGAGATTAGGCACATGTAGGTAGAACTGGGGTGGTCCAGGACGGACGCTGGAGCCAAAGGTTGGCAGAGGCACAGCTGAGTCTGACAAGTGAGGACTAGAAATCCGTGACCGAGCCCAGGTCAGAACTCTGTCGTCAGCTGATGTCTGAGCTGTTCTGGTGATGCACAGGTGAATGGGAAAGACTGAAAAGCTGGCGTCAGGCAAAGGGATGAAGAACTGCACCCACCTGGAAGGTTCATGAATTCTGGGTCTGGCTCAGGTGTGTAGAGCAGGTCTGTCAGGTGAGGTTTGAGGAGTTGAGATGAGATACAGGTTTGTACTTTGGGGTCTCAAACAGGTAAGGTTTCTGAGCTACCAAAGTCAGGCCCTGGTCTGTGTTCCAAATCTGAGGAGCTGGGGTCAAGCACAAGTGGGTAGAGCTGAGTTTTTCAGGTAATGTCTATGAAACCAAAGGCAAGCAGAGGTAGGTTGACTGGAAAAGCCATGGTTAGGTTCATTCAACTCTGTCTCACAGTTGAGCTCAGGGACAGGTAAGTAGAGCAGATCTGTCAGGTGAGGCCTGAGGAGCCAGAGTTGGCCTCATCTAGAAAGAACTGGATCTCTTCGATGACCCTGGAGAATATGAAGTGAAGACAGGTGGCTTGAGCTAGGTCTCTTAGGTGAGTCTGAGGAGCTGAGTTGGGGCGTAAGTGAGTGGATGTGGATCTCCCGGAACTGCATCTCTACCCATCTTGTGGAGGCATCTTGTGAGGGTGAGGGCTCGTGGCCAGGCACAGCTTTGTGGAATTGAGTTTCTCAGTAAGGTCTGTGGATTCTGTCGCTGGCACAGTTCTTATCCTTGGGTTTGTCAGCATAAGTTAAGCACAGGTGGATAGAGCAGGGTTTGTCAGGTAAGGTCTGTGGAGCCAGGATCTGAGCAGATTCACAACACTAGGGCGGTCCAGTGAGACCCAAAAAGTCACAGTCAAGCCCAGGTAAGAACTCGATGTCTTAGATGAGATGCGAGTAGCCGAGATGAGGTTTGGGTAGGCAGAGCTGGCCCACCAGGTCTAGTCTCAGGAGCTGGGAGCAAGCACAGGTAGGCAGAAGTGGCCCTCCAGTGTAGTCTCATGAGCCAAGGTCAACACAGGTAGGTGAAACTGGTCCATCAGGTGTGGTCTGAGGACCCAGGATCAAGCACAGGTAGGCAGAGCTGGCCCTCCAGGTGTGGTGTAAGGAGCCAAGGTCAAGCACAGGTAGGTAGAATTGGCCTGCCAGGTGTAGTCTGAGGACCCAGGATCAAGCACAGGTAGGCAGAGCTGGCCCTCCAGGTATGGTGTGAGGACCCAGGGTCAAGCCATAAGTAGGAAGCGTTGACCCTCCACGTGAAGTCTGAGGAGCCAGGGTCAAGCACAGGTAGGCAGAGCTGACCACCCAGTGTGGTCTGAGGAGCCAAGGTCAAGCACAGGTAGGCAGAGCTGACCTACTAGGTACAGTTTAAGGACCCAGCATCATGTACAGGTAGGTGGAGCTGGCCCACCAGCTGCAGTGTAAGGAGCCAAGATCAAGCACAGGTAGGCAGAGCTGGTCCCCCACATGTGGTCTGAGGTCCCAGGATCAAGCACAGGTAGGCAGAGCTTTTCCTCCAGGTATGGTCTGAGGACCCAGGGTCAAGTCATAGGTAGGAAGAGTTGGCCCGCCAGGTGAAGCCTGAAGAGCCAGGGTCAAGCACAGGTAGGCAGAGCTGACCCACTAGGTACAGTTTAAGGAGTGGGGGTCATGTACAGGTAGGCAGAGCTGGCCCGCCAGGCATGGTTTGAGGAGCCAGGGTCATGTACAGGTAGGCAGAGCTGGCCCGCCAGGCATGGTTTGAGGAGCCAGGGTCACGTACGGGTAGGCAGAGGTGGTCCCCCAGGTGTGCTCTGAGGAGCCAGTGTCAGAGGCAAGTAGGCAAAGCCTGTCTGCCAAATGTAGTGTCTTGAGGAGCTCTGAGTTAGGGTTGAACACAGGTGGGTAGAGTTGGCTCTTTCAGGTGTTGAATTCAGATAAAATAGGTACCCCTGGGTCTTTGTGGTGAGGCCTGAAGAACCAGGGTTAAGCCTGGGTGGATAGAGCAGCCTCGCAGGTCAGGCCTGCAGCTCTGGGGCCTTCTGCAGGCAGGCAGAACATGGTGGGGCTCGTAGGAGGTCTCTGGGCCCTAAGTTAGACATGAGTAGATAGATGTGGCTCTCTCAAGCAAGGACTTTGGAGCCAGACGTGTACACCTTGGTCTTGTAGGTAAAGTCCTTGGAGCATGTTTCTGGCTCAGGTGTGTGGACCCCAAGTCTTAGAGGTTAGGCCTGGGGAGCGTGGGTTAGTCACAGGTAAGTAGAACCGCCACTCAGGTAGGGTCTGCGGAGCACAGGTATGCAGGTATGTTTGGGTCCAGTGAGGTCTGAGGCTTCTCAGTGAGGTGCTAGTGCCCAGGTTAATCAGGGGTTGCTAGTGTTGGAAGTGTCTCGGAGACGTGAAGAGCTGAGTCTGACATACAATAGAGACCTGGGTCTCTCGAGTTAGGCCCGTTAGGGAGCCGAGGTCAAGCCCACGTAGATACAGCTGGATCTCTCAGGAAGGTGTGAGGAGTCTGAGCTGGGCTCAGGGAGGTGGACCTGGGTCTGTTGATTGAGATGTGAGGGGTGAGGCCCAGACAGGTACCTGAAGCCTGGTCCATCAGCTGAGCTGTCTGGAGCCTGTCTCTGATGGGTGTCTAACACTGCAGTATGAGGTACCAGAGTCAGACAGAGGTAGGCAGAGCTAACCTTGGAGATAGCCGTCGCATCCATGTCTGGCACTACTGTGTTGACCTGGCTTTGTCAGTGACTTCATGGAGCCAGGGTCACATGGGCAGAGGTATGTAAACATGATCTTAGGTGGGTTCTTGCCCCCTGGGTTCAGGTACAAATTGGCATCCCTGGGCTTATTAGGTGAAATGGGTGGGGCAAGATCTAGCCTGGAAACGCATATTTGATGTGGCTGATGAGGCCTGGGAAGGTGAGTCAGACACAGGTGGGACCTTCGGTGGTAGGATCAGGCACGGTTAGATGGGTAGCTTCAGCGTTCATCAAGGGAAAGCCGGACTCATTGTTGGTATGTCTGCCTGGCGAGGTCTGGAGAGCCCTTAAGATCGGGTACAACTGGTAGAAGGCCGTGAGCGAGGTCAGCCACCTGTTCTCAGCACCCTAGTAAGATGCGAGGGGCAGGGCTCAGGGTGTTGCAGAGACCTGAGGATCTATAGTCAGTCCAAGGTGTGGTCTCTAGCATTGGGGTCTGATTGGCATAGGGTCTGAGTTACCCAGGTGAAGCAAAAGATAGCATTATACGTAGTTACCTAAAGTGAGGTCCTGGGCACTGGGGCAGGTGAAGTGCAGAACGTCGAACTGACTGAAGGACTGCGTCTAGAAGCTGTGATCTGAGAGGCCCACTGCAGGTAAAGGTGAGGTCTGCAGATCTGTGTCTGCAGGTTGAGGTCTCAGAGAGTCAAATCAAACACTGGCATTGCTGGGCTCTCCCAAATGGGAGGTCTGAGGACCTGACCCCAGCCAAGGTCAGCAGCCTAGAATCTGTCGGTCTGAGGGCTGACTGCTCAGTCTAGTTTCTAGAATTGAATGTGTTAGGTGAGATCTGAGAGCCTATGTAAGGCGTGGTGTGGCCTGTGGGACTGTGTTTGTCAGGTAAGGTTCCCCCAAACATGGACCCTTTCCAGGTGAAGGGCCCCACCGTTCGTCTCATTAGCCGAGCTGGAAACCTCTGGGCCACCCTTGGTTCTCTCATTTTTCCAATTCATTCTGTTAGTTGAACCCTCTGAATCAGTCCTTTGCACTCCCTTGTCCAGCGTGGCGTCATTCTCTGGACGACCACTGGGGGCCCCTGCGTGGTTTTCTGCTTCCATTATCACTGCACCCACAGACTTCTTGGTTCTCCAGTTGGCCTCTCACCGTCTTCCCTTTAGTCCTCACTCCTTCCTTCCTCTTCTAGATTGTGCTGTGCCTCCTCCTGCCCAGCTTGTTTCAATGGGCTTCCAGTAGAGAATTAAGTCCTAATGTCCCAAGGCATCCATTGGATGTAATGAATTAGCATTTCTTCTTTGTGTCTAGAAGGGTACTTACTGGCCTTGGACCAAACTGGGAGAATTGAGAAGTTAAGTCACTCAAAACATTTTCTGTGGGGCTTAATTCTCTCGCTATTGAGAAAGGTGGTCCTTCCACAGGACCTTTGCGTATGCTGTTGTGGCTGCTGGAATGCTTCTCTCTCAGTGTTTCCCTGGGTAATGCCTGCTCAGTCTTCAGATCCAGGCTCAAGCACCCTTCAGATTGTTTTAATAATTGGTTTCAGTATTGTATTTCCTTTCTCTCAAGCATTTGTATCTCATTTTCATAGCTATTTGCATAATTGTTTCATTTACATCTTTCTCCCCGTGGACTGTTTCCATTGCCTGTGCTAGGAACATGGTAGGTGCTCCATAAATAGTGGTTAGGAAGATGTGAATGGAGTTCTGAGGATTCTGATGATACGAAGTGGAATCGGCAAGTGTGGCATGAGAAGGCACAGTGTGAAGGTAGGCTTAGGTATGTCTTGGGGCTGAGGCTGAGAAGACTGGATAAGCCCAGGTGTGAGCCACTGGGCATGTCAGTGTCCCAGGAGGCAGGGCTAGGTACAGGTATGAGTCACTGGGTCTGTTAGTACAGCCTGAGGAGTCGAGAATACACACTGGGTATGTCAGTATCAGAAGGGACAAGGCCAGGCCAAGGTTTGAAGTACTGGGTCTGTGGGGGTCTGAGGAGGTGGGGCCAAGGGCAGGTAGGAGGTTCTGGGTGCCTAGTTGTTCAAGGAGGCATGCTTAGGCACAGGTGTGAGGCACTGGGCCTGTTAGTCTGAGGAGGCAGGACCTGGCACAGGTATGAGGAGCTGGGATGTCACTGTCCAAGGAGACAGGGCCAGGCACGGGTATGAGAATCTTATCTGTCAGTGTCCAAGAAGGTGGGCCTGGCACAGGTGTGGGAAGCTGGGTCTGTCGGTGTCTGAGGAGGTGGGCCGGGCACAGGTATGAGGTGCTGGGTCTGTCAGTGTCTAGGAGGTGGGCATGGCACAGGTATGAGGCGCTGCATCTGTTGGTGTCTGAGAAGGTGGGCTGGCACAGGTATGAGGCGCTGGGTCTGTCGGTATCTGAGGAGGTGGGCCTGGCACAGGTATGAGGCGCTGGGTCTCTTGGTGTCTGAGGAGGTGGTCCTGGCACAGGTATGAGGCGCTGGGTCTGTCGGTTCTGAGGAGGTGGTCCTGGCACAGGTATGAGGCGCTGGGTCTGTTAGTGTCTAAAGAGGTGGTCCTGGCACAGGTATGAGGCGCTGGGTCTGTCGGTATCTGAGGAGGTGGGCCTGGCACAGGTATGAGGCGCTGGGTCTCTTGGTGTCTGAGGAGGTGGTCCTGGCACAGGTGTGAGCTACAGGGTCTGTCGGTGTCTGAAGAGGTGGTCCTGGCACAGGTATGAGGTGCTGGGTCTGTCGGTGTCTGAGGAGGTGGTCCTGGCACAGGTATGAGGCGCTGGGTCTGTCGGTGTCTGAGGAGGTGGTCCTGGCACAGGTATGAGGCGCTGGGTCTGTCAGTGTCTAAAGAGGTGGTCCTGGCACAGGTATGAGGCGCTGAGTCTGTCGGTGTCTGAGGAGGTGGGCCTGCCACAGCCATGAGGTGCTGATTGTTCAGTGTTTGAAGAGGCTTGTATGTGGCAATGGGTCTGTCAGTGTCTAAAGAGGTGGCCCTGGCACAGGTATGAGGCGCTGGGTCTGTCGGTTTCTGAGGAGGTGGGCCTGGCACAGGTATGAGGTACTGGGTATGTCTGTGTTGGAAGAGGTGGGCCTGGCACAGGTATGAGGTGCTGGGTCTGTTGGTGTCTGAGGAGGGGGTCCTGGCACAGGTATGAGGTGCTGGGTCTGTCGGTGTCTGAGGAGGTGGCCCTGGCACAGGTATGAGGCGCTGGGTCCTGGTGTCTGAGGAGGTGGTCCTGGCACAGGTATGAGGCACTGGGTCTGTCGGTGTCTGAGGAGGTGGTCCTGGCACAGGTATGAGGCTCTGGGTCTGTCGGTGTCTGAGGAGGTGGGCCTGGCACAGGTATGAGGCACTTGGTCTCGTGGTGTCTGAGGAGGTGGGCCTGGCACAGGTATGAGGGGCTGTGTCCGTCAGTGTCTGCGGGGTTGGGCCTACCACAGGCATGAGGTTCTGGATTGTTCAGTGTTTGCAGAGGCTTGTATGCGACAATGGGTCTGTCAGTGTCTAAACAGGTGGCCCTGGCACAGGTATGAGGCACTGGGTCTGTCGGTGTCTGAGGAGGTGGTCCTGGCACAGGTATGAGGCTCTGGGTCTGTCGGTGTCTGAGGAGGTGGGCCTGGCACAGGTATGAGGCACTTGGTCTCGTGGTGTCTGAGGAGGTGGGCCTGGCACAGGTATGAGGGGCTGTGTCCGTCAGTGTCTGCGGGGTTGGGCCTACCACAGGCATGAGGTTCTGGATTGTTCAGTGTTTGCAGAGGCTTGTATGCGACAATGGGTCTGTCAGTGTCTAAACAGGTGGCCCTGGCACAGGTATGAGGCACTGGGCCTGTAGGTGTCTGAGAAAGTGGGCTGGCACAGGAATGAGGTGCAGGGTCTGTCAGTGTCTGAAGAGGTTGGGCTGACACAGGTATGAGGCGCTGGGTCAGTCAGTGTCTGCGGCGGTGGGCCTGGCACAGGTATGAGGCGCTGTGTCTGTCAGTGTCAGAGGAGGTGGGCCCGGCACAGGTATGAGGCGCTGGGTCTCATGGTGTCTGAGAAGGTGGGCTGGCACAGCTCAGACACGACAGACCCAGAGCCTCATACCTGTGCCAGGACCACCTCCTCAGACACCGACAGACCCAGTGCCTCATACCTGTGCCAGGGCCACCTGTTTAGACACTGACAGACCCATTGTCGCATACAAGCCTCTGCAAACACTGAACAATCCAGAACCTCATGCCTGTGGTAGGCCCAACCCCGCAGACACTGACGGACACAGCCCCTCATACCTGTGCCAGGCCCACCTCCTCAGACACCACGAGACCAAGTGCCTCATACCTGTGCCAGGCCCACCCC